CCACTTATGCAAGTTGACAGACCCATCAGACAGCTCAGCCAGTGGACAGCACTACTCAGTTGAATAGATTAACGGTAACGTCAACCCGTCACTCCAAGCTTGACTGCATCATGTAGACTGACATGCTGGTCAGACGATGCCTCGCACCCTCTATTTGGCCATCTTCCATCGCCATCTGTTTCCTGCCCATTGGGTCATATATAAACCCAACACAGATGATACTAGCTCGCCGGGCACCATGCTCCATGTCGAAGGTGATGTGGCGAATGGTTTTTCCCACACCGTAGCACGCAACTATGATATCTTGAAGACCAGTCGAACCTACACAATGATTACGCTCGGCCAGGTCGATAGTCAATATGTCAAAGACTACCCCAAGGGCGCATATGTTTCTCTTGCCCCCGTCCAAGCTATCGACAGGGTCGAACAGGTCATTCTCTCGGTCCCCGCGCCGGGCAAAAGCCTGAGATCAGCGACTTCGGTGAGCTCCTCCGCTGCCTTCAACTATTCAGGACTCCAGCTGAGATATAGCCGTAGGCGGTCACCGCGGAGAAAGTGAAACAATCAAACTGTCAGGACTGGGTGAAGGAGTGCGTCAAGGTGCTGATAAACCAGGGTATGCTCCCGAGCAGCGCGTGGGACGTAGTTCAGAAGGCGCCCCTCAACTAGGGGCGGTAGATCCTGAGTCCCTGTTTCATTCGCGTATGATATAGGATATGCAGTCCTGGATGTACGGCCCATTTACCCATTGTCGTGGAATGAGAGCCTGTTTGACTCGTGATGATCTGATGTTCTAAGACACCGACTGCAGTATAGCTCACACCGTCTCGAATAACTCACGGTGAAGGTACAATGAGGAGTGAAGCATCAATGTATGACTGATCCTCCACGCACGTCCTTGTCCGTCCTCGGGCTCAGCAGAGACTCGGAATCACACGCTGCACCGGTACCATGCCACTATACAACACTCTAGCAGCGCGAGTTATATTCCATATCGCCCAGTGTAGTAGTCCCAATAGCCAATGTCCTCGTACACGTCCAGAAACATGGGGATATAGCGTGTCGCCCACTCGTCATCCTCTCTCACCAGGCGGGCTGCTTTGCAGTACTCCCAATAGTCCGGATACCATCCGGACTGATACCAGTCAATGATGCTGAGGAGCCGGGGTCGCTGTCCGTCATCAGTAGGTGTCGATACCAGAATGTTACTCTTGTCGAGATCTCCATGAGTGAATACGATGGGTGCATCGTCAGGGAGCCTCCAGCGATCTGGGTCCCCGTCCGGATAGGGATCGCTGGGACTGGGCCAGAACGCTATGTACTCGTGCAGAGCGTGAACGGATGGGAACGGCCCCGCAACGCGACCATCAACAAAGGTGTCGAGAATGGGTTGGCGGGCTACGTGACCTGATTAGGTTATCCATTTAGCACTGACGTGGTTCCGTTCGGGGGACGGAACGGAGGAGCACTCACCTACGAATGGATCAGACGGGTCCTGCCGCAAAGTACGCAAGGCGCGAATGGCGGCACGCAATTCCAGGCATATTGATTCTCGGTCGGCGTCGGAAAGGGAGTCCCAGCAATCCTTGAGGGTCACTCCCTTTACAAGCTCCATGTAGATAAAGAAGTCTTGGTCGTCGTGCTTCCAGCCATAAAGCTCGGGCACAGGCACCTTGTCTTTGAGATAATGTCCGATCATCCACATCGTCTGTGCTTCGGCTATACTCTCTAGAGGACCGTATTTGACTATGAGGCCCATGTCGGGGAAGTACACTGGGTGATGGCGAGAAAGGGGACCCTGCCGCTCAGCCTGCTCACGTACTTGGGCGATGGAAGGAAGAGCGGCGTGTTTACGAAAGAATGACGAGTCTCGAAACTCGATGCACTCGTCCCGAGGTATGATGGAGAGGTCAACTATTTGCGTCACATTGTCTGACATGGTTGTGTCGTAACCGGTGGAATATATCCGCAACCTATAAGAAGATAGTGTCTGGTCAGTGGCTTGTCGCAAATACATATGAAATGTAGTGACAGATGGTCAAGGCGGCTGGGTCTCCACTTGATGACTCGGAGCGGTCGACTCACCACCGGTGAAAGCTCTCTCTAACGACTGCTCGGGATGCGGTGCGGCGTTTCTGATAGAGTAGGATGGTGCAGTTACTTGACGACGGTAGCAGTGACTATTTGAAGACGTTATCCACTGCTGTCTGGTTTCCTCGGTGTGCTCCCGTAGCCCGCTGGCAGGATCGCATGTGTAGCGAACTTTGTTTCGAATCCGCTCACGCGCCGGCGGTTCCCCGACGCCACAGTTGCGAACCGAAACTCTTCGTTTCACTTGAGTAAACTTCTGAAGTACGGGACGGCAGACGAAAAGGTATGGTAGAAAAGTATCCGACATCCCTGTCGCCTTTCCCTGTGTCGTACGTGTTTATCTGGATTATGCACTGAACGCGAGGACTTGCAACCGTGAGTCAACACAGTCGCACCGTCAATGGCATGTGCTTTGCCAGTGCGGTAGACTGTCGACTATGCAAGGGAAGAGTCTGCGTCTCTGAATCGTGTCCGTCCTGGGAGCGGCCGTGATTTGGTAGCGTCTGTTTGTGCCCCTACCATAGCTCTTGGTGGTGCATTGGTGACTCGGTGGTGAGCCATCCGCCTTCTCTGTGCTAATCTAGTATCAGTATGTTCCTCGATGCTTTTGGCTATTGGGAGAATTCCCATGCTTCTGCTGGCAGGACACCATGCAAAACAACCAGCGCAGGATGAACATTCCATATCTCGCTCAGGAGTACACTCAACATTTATTGGAGAGCTTGCCGGAGACTGGGGGAGACCCACGACTCAATAATCTTTTACTCGTCATTCGTGATGCATATCGAGTTGAATATCTAGCGGGTGCAGTTTGGATACTGGTGGTCGATGGCTTCGAAGAGTCGTCCGTCGTGCATACCTGCTATAGAGCCTCGATATTGCAACTATGAGCTGTAATGAAGTTGAATGCTACGTTGAGGCACATGATGAACCCGTTGTGGCTGCGCGTCGACTCGGGCGCGCGACTCACGCGTGGCTCATTCCATCATGGCCATCCATCCTTGTCTACGCCTCCATCGTCCGCCCGACAATTGCGATAATCCTGGATAATAGGACATGTTCTCTGAACGGAAGGCATCGTACAAGGCGCCGCCAAGCTCAGTCATCGATATCCGCCAGTCTCAGCAAGCTCGCCGTGAAAAGGTCTGCTGCCCGGCCGCCCTTACCCATCTCAGCACGTACTCAAATATTTCGTTCAGGCACTAGAAGAACAGAAACGCGTGTGTGTCATGATAGTTTGCACCGGCCAAAGTCTACGCGGTGTCTGACCGCTGGATACTGCTACAGCGCCGCGCCCGGAAAGTTGATGCATCCCGCCAGCTCGATCTCTTTGCCGACCTAACCCTCGGACCCTCGGACGACGAAGCAGACGAGAACGGTGATGGCGAGCCTGAAGTCGTGCGCTCCGGCGTGGCGTCGTTTGCCTCCCTCCTTCCCGGCCCGTCGTCCTCTACTCCTACTCCGTCCACCAATGATCCAGCCCAACCCGAACCGCAACAGTCAGGCAAGAAGAAGCCCAAGAAACGCAAGAAGCGCAGCGCCAAGAAAGCCAACAAATGGGCCGACAAATGCATGTACGCCGAGCTGCTCGAGATGGACGAGGCGTCGCCCTGGTCGGACGGTCTGCCCGACGATCTGGAGACCGGTTTTGTCGCAGTCGCGCCTGTTCCCGTAGGGAAACGGTGTTTAGCTGTAACACACCAGTCGGCTGGGTATCCCGTTACAGGTGTGTTCAAGCCCACTACCCGTCGACCTACGGACTGCTTATTCTGGATCCGTAGGCCCTAACACGACGTTACGGTCAAGACTCCAAGGCAAGTCACTGATGCCCCCATTCCCGTCCCCGCTCCCGCCCTCGACTATTCTCGACTGCATACTCGATTCAAGGTGGCAGGAGAACGGGATATTACACGTACTAGATGTGATACAGTGGAAGGGGCAGGAGGTCGGCGAGTGCGAGACGGCATTCCGGTACGTTCTCCTGCGCGTCCATCACATTCTTTCTCCCTCTCTCCCTGCCTTCCCCTATTTTATCCGCTCACACAACGACACCCAGCTTCTGGTGGCGCGACACCCGCCTCTCCGAGCTCCCGCCCTTCCCCCCACCTCCCTCTGCGCCGCTCGAACCGCCCGCCTCCGCCGACCCCGCGCACTTCCCACAAACCTCGACCTTCCCTCCGTCAACCCAGCGGTACCGCTTCCCCCACCCCGCAACCCTCCTCCCAATCCCCTACCACCCCTCCACCTCCGTCCCCGCGCTCGCATCACACATCATCCCCGCCGCGCGCTCCGTGCGGCACGTCACTGTCCAGATTCCCTCCTCGCCGCGCTTCTCGTATACTTCGGCGATGGACATCGATATGGCGTTCGGGAGCGGGAGCGGAGGTGGCAGTGGGGGTGGGAGTGCGAGTGGGATGAAGGAGGTGACGTACGAGATACCCCCGGACGGCCTCCTGCTTTACGTCGCCCAGGCGAGCTACGAGCCCGGCACGAGTCCGCTCAGCAGCTGGGTGCCGCTCCGTCCTGACCCCGACTCCGGTGTAAGCGAGGGTGCTCTGGATGTGTTCGAACGGTACGTCGTATATCCTCTCTGTCTCGTTGAATGCATTCTAATGCAAAATCTCGCTTGCTTATAGGCTGGTCAGGCGGAGATTAGCTGGTGCTACAGCACAGGGACAGCTCATAGAGGTGGATATGGATGCCGATTAATCTATTCATACATTGTTCGTGGATAGTGTGATGTTACATGTATGATAACATGGGGGCAATGCAACGTATCAATGCATCGAGAACCGTGCCTGTCACGACACGACATTCAGAGCCCACAACATGCGAATAATGCTTGCACTTACCCTCAAATCTGCGCCCTTCACCTGCAATGCAGGCACGATCAAGAGAAACAGCCCCGAGACAATCCTGCACCCAGCATGAACCCGATCAGTATCCCCTTCAAAAAGGGGGAAAGCATATAAAAGCACTCACGCAGCTTCGCATCCAAATACTTCCAGAGCGCCGTAGCTCTCCGCCCACGGCACCTGGAAGAAGGGCACCGCGAACCCGCCGAGGGCGCGCGATAGGTTGATGAGCGCGCTGATCTCGCCCTGTTGCTTCGGGAAGCAGTCGTTGCAGTAGGCATCTGAACAGATGATCAGTTAGCTATAGACAAGAGAGGAGATGCAAGGGGCACAAAAGCATACATACATATCGCCACCGTATTAATCATAATCGCAACTTGCGCAATCCCCCAGCCCATGACGAGCGCGCCGACGGACATGTGATTCTGGAAGGACGCGCCGAGCAGGACGAAGCCGCAGATGTACAGCGGGATCGCGATGTAGCATGCCCTGTTCATAGCAGTTAACAGCGAAACCCGGCTGTGGGACAAGGATAGGTAGGACACACCACAGTCGGTACTCGGCCTCAAAGACGCCGTTATGTTTCCGGATGCTCGCGTTCTGGATCCAGTCGTTCGTATACCGGCCTACAAGCTCGCCGATGACGACTGCAACCTGGTGGTATCGAAGAACCCTCAGTAAGTGTGGAAAGACTGGAGGCAATAGCGAGGACATACGATAGGCGTCGCGTATCCGGCTGCGATACCGTACTGGCTAAACCCGTAGCCCACCGGCGGAGGCGTCCCGAGGAACACAGCGTTCGTGACGTTGATGCCCACGCCGAAGCCGAAGAGGATTCCCTCAAACACCAGCACGCTGAGCAGGTGCGGGCGCCAGATACAGTCGACGTGCGAAAGGAGCCCGTTGAGCAGGGTCGGTCGATACTTGCCCATGCGGCCTCCCGTAATACCGACCAAGGTTGCTACCCTGGAAGAGAGGGATTTGCCGGGGCGGGGCGGAATGGGCTGGACGGAACGGTCATACAATCTTTGCGATCATGAGGTCAGGGTGAGCAGGAGGTGGGACATGTACTTACGTCTCCTCGCCGAAGAAGGAAATCATGAACACGACAAAGGCCCCATAGAGGGACGCGACGCCGTACGACCAGCGCCAACTGAGATTCATCCCGTTAGCTCCGTCATCACTTATCCGACCCCGTGGGTTGAACTGACTCTGCTCGTGCTACCAGGAAGCCGAAGGCAAATGGAGAAAGGAATGGCGCGATGATGAAGCCCATAGTCCACAGGTTGAGCTTTACACGTACTCGGAGTTAGTCCAACTTTAAATGGAAGGCGAGAGTGTGCACACCTTACGAGCTTGCAAGTGGAATGGGTACAGGTCGGTTACGACATAAAGACCCTATGCGGCACCCGTTGAGGGGCACGTGTATGTGTGGAAACTCAGTTGAATGATATTCTTACTGTAACTTGTGGGCATGTTCTGTCGATGCAAAATCACGTTAAACAATGGACGCGGGATAGGTTGCCACGGAAAGAGTAGGGACGTACCCAAAAAATGCGGTAAGACATCGCATGGCTAGAAGTATGTATCTTCGTGTTAGCCTTGATTTAGTGAATTCTGTGAAGGGACGGAACGCACCTGCGAAGGTCTTCAGATTTGGTGCGAACGTACAGCCAACCATGAATGCAAGTGCGAACACCTGTCACGATTAGATCAAGTTAGTACTGGCTTACTTGCGGTACCTCGCAAGTCAAACATGCCTGGGACCAGAATAGGATTGGAAGTCGGCCAAAGCGCCGCATGAGGATAACGGCGGCTATACCGCCCCATCCTTGATGATCACAGCGTAAGAATGAAATATCGTCTGCAGATAAAGCGGGGAACACGCACCCAGGAGAAAGATACTCCAACTGCGGGGGTATATTCAGAATCGTAGTCGTCTGCGTGAAAAAGCGGGATTGCAAACATACTTTGACGTAAGGTTGTTTATCACGCCCGTGGTCGTATCGTACTGCTTTGCGAGAGCGAACAGCGCAGCGATGCCTGCATTATCCAGTCAATCAAAACGCCTCTTCCTCTGAAACATGAGCAAGCAGACGACCCACCAACTCCCGAGTCGAAGTCGGGAATCACCGCAGCTACGGTGACAATGAACAGCTGCATTGCCTTGCGTCCGTCACTCCACTAAAATCTGCATGAGCCTCGCGAACGAACGGTATCATAGAAAATCCCACAAACATTCTGAGGGTCCTCCGGGTCGTCGGTAGGTTGAGGCCAAAGGACCTTCTTCCTGTCCCGGGACAGCTTCAGCCGAGAGGCTATCTCGTCCCCAAACTCAATCCGCGCTTCCTCTGGATCGACGACGAGGCGTCCGGCGACGCGCTCGTGGAACGTGGTGAGGTCGATATCCGGGCCGAACTTGTGTTCAGTGCTCGTCTGAGATGGAGCCTCCTCCAGTCTCCGTTCCTCAGCTTTCTCAATATCGACGGAGTCTGCCATCTTGAGGACATCTTCAGAGTCGATCGGCAGGGTCATGACTGCGGGGAGTAAGGGTTGGAGGAGAGGAACGCGGTGTAACAACCTCTACCCCTCGTTCTTATCGTTTATCCTAGATACTTCACCTGCGGGGTAAGAAACGCGGAGGTTAATCGTTTAGCATAAGGAATGCAATTGGCCAGAAGAGTATTCAAGGCATTACACAACGTTCGGCTGGGAAGAGATGCTGTGCTACAGCACTGTCATATGACCTTCTTGACGTTCTCGGGGCGTCCGCTGCTCCGCTTGCTCGTCCTTCTTCCCAGAATGAATGATCGCATCTGTAGCAAGTGCAAGAGGCCATACTAGTAGTGCGTATGATGATGGACCGCCGGTGGGAGTCATTGTGTAGAGAATTATTAGTAACTGTGCGCTGGTGAAGCAGCTCACGGCAAATGTCGATACGCTATTGACACTGGCGTGAGCTGCTTCATATTTTATCCACAGAGATAACCCAGTGCAACGAAGATGCCTTGTGTAGCCCTGGTGTAGCCCACGAATGTGGGATACCATAAACTCGGAATAGAACGAGACGGACAGCTACAACTTCTACTGCAATATGAACCAATCACAAGTCATCTCGGTAAATTCCGGCCTCCCTATAGACCGCCTATCTACTAGCTACGCCGTTTACAAGTCTAATTCCGGCCCAATCGCCCAGACTTTCTCCGACTCTTTCTCGAGCAAACGTCCCAAGCGTCGGTACTTAGGAGATTAATCGTTGTATCTCCGTGGATACGAGAAAAGGTCCTATAATATTTTCCAGGGGTTTCAGCGAAGTAGAGGCACTCTAAAATACACTGACTACGAAATTGGAACTTAACTGCGATCCAGAGCCCGGACTTGAAGCCACCGCCGCTCGACATGGCTACACCCCCACGGTTCCTGCAAAACCAGTATGATCGCTACCCAGACGACGGGACTAAAAAACATCAGGAAAACCCTCTCCCGCTAATTAGATATAAAAGAGCATAATTGTTAAAAATTATACAGATTATCTCATTATACCCGATTATCGCTAAAACGCTAGCCCCTTTGTAATTATGCGTGGTTATCCAACATTTATATCTAATAACATAGCCTTAGACAAGGCACTCTCTTATTTTTATCTCCTTTTATTGACACGGTATAGCATAGATGGGAGCAAAATCCATATCATTGCAGCAAGGGTATTGTATATACATAGTTGCAGTCTGTATAGAGCAGCCGAAACTGTGATAATCTATCTACACCCAAAATCTAATCCCAGCATGTACACGAAAGGATCACAATACCTCCAGTGTCTGTAGCAGGAAAGCAAGGGTTAGGGCACTGGATATACACAAGGTAACAACACGATACACACCTTCGACCACAACTTTCGAGTTTCCTCTTAAGGCTAGCCCACACCCAACCCAGCTGCCAAGGCCCAGTGAGCAAGCATACCAACTAACCCACCAACAGAGAAGCTACTATGGTATCTCAGTAAGAACGACTGCCGAGACAACATCGGCGAACTCACATCTGACCACCTTCATCTGTTACGGCAATCACGGTAGGTCGGAGGTCTTCAGCCTAGTCATAAATGCGTCAGCAGATATCCTAGTACTCAAAATCGACAAATACTTACTGCTGATGCATTCGACTTGAAGTCGACGAGCGGCAATGAGATGGGTGGCGGCGGGCCTCGGTCTTGGATTCTACAGGAAATGACATTATATGCACACTGAAAATGTGCCATATAAATCAATGTCGGCGAAAGCCAGCGCCAGCGAACAGTTACAAGTGACTTACCGTGGCTCAGGTGATGAAGGCAGCGCCATAGTCGTGCGGCGCTGAAAGGCGAGACCCCCGAGAAGAGCACAGCTGTTTGGGCACACAAGAAGAACTGGATGGAGACGGTGAGAGAGAGGGAAGTCGCGACTCGCGAGGACTGTTGAAGTAGATTCGGTCGGAGCTTGAAAACACGGTATCAACAAACTCACGTGACCGCGTCGGCGCATTCAAACCCGAAGTAACGGAAGTTCGAAGCCTCTCTCCGCAAGCTGGATCTCGCGCTATTGTGTGCTGGGCGCCCTCTCGTCTGTGCTCTCTCCCCTATGCACGGTGCATTTCCTGGCTACGCTAGGACAATCGGCAATATCTGGATAGCTTCGACATCGAATAGTCGTGTTCCTGTGCAAGGCCAGGCTTCCGCTGCAAAGTAACGGCACCACGATGAGAACGCACGCGCAGCCACGTCTCCGGCTCTATCATCCACGGCGACGAGCACGACATCTTTCAAACGCCCACATCAGGCTCCCGCCATATCCATATACCTGCACGCTCGCCGTACAACTCTTCAACATGCTCGTGTCGCGTTGGCCGGTCACATGAGCAGCCTGTCTTCGAGCGCAACGACGCCAACTTCATCGTCGCTTGTTCGCCCGTATTGACCGAAAGCTCAGTCTGACGACAGACAGGATGTAGATACATCAGAGAAGGGATATGCATCTGGTTCGAGACGTTTGATACGAGTAAGTCTCGTTTACCTTTTCCACACTCACTCAATACCACTGACCAAGGCTTTCTGCGCGCTACGAGCGAGTGTTGGGGTGCAGGCAAACTCCAGCCTTGGCTGGCGGAGGCGATGTATGACCACCATGGCTGGCATTGCGAGCACCCCACAGCTGACATCTTCTAGTATGTGAGCTATACTGATGGTCACAAACAGTGCCAATCCGGGTCCATGAATGTATAACGGTATAACGGGATGCACGAGAACATGGGAGTGCGGCCGTAGCTACTGCCCCACTGTCGGCACCTGGTAAGCCCTGCAGTCATGCCCGAGAAGTAATCGCGACAACTGGTAGAAGGGATAGCAGGACACAAGGACCAGACTCTGTTGGGACTTGTGGCAAAGGTTATGTATGTAGAATGTATCTACTACAAATGTCCATGATCAGATTGTATATATGTACCAAACTACATTGACTTTTGACTATGGTGTTCTCTTGTATGAGATTATGTCGGTTATATGAACTTATCCAGAACTTATCCACCCATTATCTTCATTATATGGCCCTAGAGCCAATTATGCAAAATTATGTCTAATTTGCCAGGGAGGGTTTTCCTGATGAACTTGTATGGCTACAAGCAGCAGGGAAGACATACAGCGGCTCGGGTGACCGTCACGTCCTCATCTGGTGGGGAAACGGTTTTACAGAGGACAACACACAAGTAAACCAGATCCTCCAACTGACTGGCCAGCCAGGTAGCTACAACTACTATGCGCCAGTCGCTCTCGCGGACGGCACTACTGTGTCGGAAGAGAAGAACCAGCAGATCCTCCTCGGCCAGCTCTCTCGTGAAGAGCGTGATGAGACCCTGCGGCTCGCGAAAGCGATACGGTTCTCTAAGACATCTGTTATCAACTCCTGCCGGACCTGGACGCGGGACCTGCTGAAGGCTATGGTCGAGAGGTCGCTTATTACTGTAGAGCTGTTCGACAAGATCGACACGAAAGTGCCCTTGAAGAAGCGGGTGACGGAGGTATAAGGACCTCTCCGATGCCAATCTTTCTTCGGGCACCCGTGAGTGGCCTTGTATCTCTGTCATCTCAGCCTCTGACTCAGTGTTCTAATCAATTGCCGAAATATACGTCGCAAGACATACTCCCAACTATCCGTCATCCAATAGGGGTCATGCGTTCGCGCGCGTTCCCAATATCCCAGATAAAATCCCGTTGTGTTCCAGCCTATCACCCCTGCCATGGTTGAGCCGCACTCGGAGACCACAGTATTCTTGGGTAGCAGGTCTCCATGTGTGAAGCGCACAGCCGCAGGAAGTGGGCCATCAGCTCGTCGGCAAACCTTCCCCTGCAAAAGAATAGGAGCAGGTTGCGGTACCCGGCCTCTAGGCCTTGCTCTTGCTCTTCACCGCAGCCATCTTCGCCAGGATAATCTTCAATTGTGCCGTGCTGTGTTCGAGTTGCTCCGTCGTCATCTTGTCTATGACTATATCCAACAAGATGCTCGGGCAGTGCTCCATGCACATGTAACAGGCCCTCAGTCGTGGATGTCTGAGGATCCATGGGACGGGCAGCCGGGCGACACACTTTGGCCGTAGTGTTTGTGACGCGCCATGCGCTGGAAGCGAGGGCATACGAATTGGGAACGTACAGCAAAAGCCCGAGATTGGCAGTCAAGTACCGAATCTAGAGTGCGGTGTCCAGTATTTGCTGCTGATGCTGAACCAATTCCGGGAAACTACAGTGGCCAACTGCGCCCCCAGATCCATTTTTCCCCTCCCAAAGAGTTTATGAACGACCCGAACGGGGACTGGATGTAGTGGCGCACAAAGGACGCTCGGCCGTCTGTCTTTCGGAAGCGGGCCAGTAATCCTCGTCAGACTTTTTTATGATGCTTAGTGTAAGCACGACTCAGGCATAGGATATTGCAGCCGTATGCTCAGGGAATATAAATGAATCCTGCCGACGAGCACCTTTGAGCTAGGAACCGGTCTGTTTACGTTCAATACTCAGCTCACAGTTACAAGTCGGAACCGCGACGCTAGCAACTTCCGCCGCTCGTCGACTTTGTCATATGCTTCGAAGGGATCGTATCCAAACCCCCGTCTTCCATCCGAGGGGTTACCGATGTGGGAAATTGTGGCTTGTGGCGCAAATTACCTCGGTTGTGGCACTAGTGTGGTCCTGTAACATGCGCGAGCCTTCCGCTTGGAACTTGCTCAGGTGAGTCGTTTTCATTGGACTCATCTACTGGGCTATTAACTAACGAAGCTGCTGACGGTAAGAAACGCATCCCCGTATGGGATGATGATTATAAACTGTGGCTCATCTCCACCAGTACTAGAAACGAGTTCCTCCCCTACCTTAACACCTTATGACGGCTGCTACAGACCCTCATCACAGCCGCTCGAACTGATGGTATAAAAGTAAATAACATAGCCTGCTCGAAATGGATCACATTGGCACAACAGAGACACACGTCCGTACCAGAAACGACGAGGTTATAGCCCTTCCTCCACTCTACATCTCACACAATCAACGAGCTCAGAATATCATCCTCCGGCGGCCTGTAATTCTTGGTCTGGTCCCAATAACCAGCCAACTTACTCCCCAACACCTCCTTCGCCGCACTATCCGTGGGGCAGCTCTTCGGCTTGAAGTTACTGAACACCCGATCTCTAATCTGGCCCTCCCACACCAGCTCGCACTTATTATCTTCGAGCGACACCGGCGCACCATCCTCAGCAGCAGGGGTAAACGCACGACTCTTCGCACGGCCGCCTTCCTCACCTTCGCCCCCACCCTCTTCGTCAGTCGCGACATCGTCATCCGCGCGGGCCCGTGCAGCGACGGTCCACTGAATTCGGTGCAGCATCAGCCGCTTGTAGTTCCTGATAAACTTCGCCGCGCCTTCGACATAGACCATCGAAAACGAGGGATGGAAGATGCAGACGCCCGTAAGGTTCATCTGTTCTGCATTCTTGCGCACTTTGAAGCGATGCGACGGGTCGGACAGAGTCTTGACCCTACGAGGCAAAGCACAGTAGGTGAGGATCAGCCACGGCATTAAGACAAGCAACCTACTTGAACACAGCAGCGCACAGCCCTTTCTTCTCCTCTTCCGCCTTCTTGATCTCGATCTTCTCCCGTCTCTGCTCGTCCGTCAACTTCCGCTCGGCGTTCATCTTCTCGTGTTGATGCTTGCGCATGGCCACCTCCCTGCGCACCCGCGCTTCCACCTTGGTCGGATCTTGCACAGCATCCGAAGTAAGGACCTTCATGAGATTCGCAAGGCGCACTGTGAACGCATTCTGTCAGAAACGACATGGCTTGTGTAGTTACACTGATCACTGACCTTTAGGAGGATCCGGCGGGATGAGACCCATACGAATACGATCTCTCTTATCTTGCAACTCCGCCTGCCGTCGTTGCTTCCTCATCTTCTTTTGCTCCTACAGGACGGTGAAGAATGTCAGCTACCAAATCCAGACTTGCCAAAAGCAAACGACACGTACCTTCTTGGTCAACTTCAGAGGCTTGAGCTGACTCTTATTTTTATCCCCAGGAGCCGGTATCGGAATCGGATGCTGCACGTAAATCGTTATCGGTGAACTCTCGTTCCGAATATTCAGTCTCTCAAAGCCCAGACTCAGATCGTCGTACGTCTTGTTCGGCAACAGGGCCGCGTCCCACCACTCGACGTCGGGCGGCGCCTCCCTGCGGATATTCTTCTCGAGCGTCTCGAACTCCGTGTCCAGCCCCGCCTTGCGCGCGCTTTCGGCAATCCGCTGCTTGAGCTCCTCGAGCTGCGCTTCTTGGCGCATCTGGTTCGCAAGCGCAATGTACTTGCCCTTCTGGTTGAACCGGAAGTTCCGGCCCATGCGTTCCTTGGGCGCGCCCTCAAAGACCGGGTCCTTAGCTGCGGCTGCGGCTGCGTACGGGTTCGAACTCGTTTCGACGGGCGCGATAACGGGAGTCGGGGCAGGAGGGGGGGTTGGAGCGTTGCGGATGTTTGCCTTTACTTTACATGAGCAGCAGCGGGCGGGGAGGCGGCGATATGCATACCTTGATAGTAGCAAACTTGGGCTGCATGGGCTTGTACCGGTCCTTCTTCGATTGGGGCGCCGACGGCGCTGTATCAAGTAGAAGAGGATGAGCAGCCATCTTGAGACCGGCGCCTTGCTGAGCAGGCTCCGGCGCAGGCCTCCCCTTCTTGGCTGGAAGGGACTAGGGTACCTGCATTGAGCAGAATTTCATGAGTACGAACAGTGGGATGCTCACCATGTAAGGATTATCCTTCACCGCCAGCTTGCTCTGTGCCTCCGCCACGCGACGCTTCGCCTCCGCCACTCGCCGCGCGAGGTCGGGATCCAAGCCTGGCGACGGGGAATGCTCTGCGCGTCCACCGGTCGGCGTCGACGGTGCAGGCGACGGGGCAGCTGTTACGACTGGTGACGGACGTGCGGGAGCAGGCGAGGGGGAAGGGGCAGGTGCCAGGCCAGAACCACCTTGCTTCATGGCTGCTAGTTTAGCCGCAATTTCGGCGCGCTTCTGCGCAATGAGGTCCTGTGCAGAGAGCTAAGCGTCTGGTTAGTACTGCCCGGACTGGTCACTGAGAGTACTCACCGGTGTCCCTGGTTTCGAGCCATTGGCGGGGGTCTGAGGGGCGAAGGAAGTTATAGGGACGAGTCAGAACGATGGCAGACGCGGTATTCACCTTTCAGAAAGGAGAAAATTGGCACTCACGGCATCACTAGAGGAGGTTGCGCCGTCAACAATGAGAAGGACGAAGCAAGACGGACTCTGACCTTTTCAGTTTCTTCGCGACCGAGGCGTCGCCGCCCTCCAACGGCCGCTTTGAGCTCATCTTGGATACGACAACGACAACGACAAAGAGATGGCCAAGGTTGGGCCAACGACGTTGTTGGCGACGTGCACGACGGCAAGGGCGAGTGTAACGCGTCACGCGGGGCAGTCACGAACAGGGCGAAAGACGCGTTACGTAAGCCCAGTAATTCATGTTCTCCCTGCGACCTGCGCTGAATATCTGTCGGGCCTCCGCCTCCTCGTCGCTGACGCCGTTGTCGTCAGCGTTCGGAGTGCAGTTTGCTCGGGGGCGACACCAGCTTGCGCCCAGGAAGGTCGAGCACATCAAGCGGCACAAGGGCAAAATCCCGATTCCTATAGGAGGATCCACGAAGGGCACGACGCTCGCGTATGGCGACTGGGGCATCAGGATAAAGGGCCCGGGGGTGCGGTTCACCGCGAAGCAGCTGCAGACGGCGGAGGAGGTCATTCGGCGGAAGATCAAGGTGATTAAAGGCGCAAAGGTGTATTTGCGAGTGTTCCCCGATATTCCGGTTTGCGTGAAGGTGAGGCATTATGTTCAACAATTCTTGGGACTCGACCTGAGTGTTTCTGGTTACGTAGGGAAATGAGACGCGTATGGGTAAGGGGAAGGGTAGTTTCGAGTTTTGGGCGACTCGGTGTGTATCGCTACTTTGACTGCGCGAATCACCGAAACTAATGTTTTCGTTAGCGTCCCGACAGGACGTGTAATTTTCGAGATCGGGGGCGCTCCCATCCGAGAGGAGCTTGCGCGAGAAGGTACGGATGCCAGCAGCTTAGGCATCGAAGACCTCACTGACAATATTCACCAGCACTTCGACAAGCCGCAGACAAGCTCCCCACGACAATGGAATTCATCACGAAGCGGTCACCACCTCGTCTAGGCAATATGCTTATCACGCCAGAGACCGCGAACGTCCCAGCACCGCCCATGATCCAGCGGACTGTTGAGATTCCTGCCGCCGCAGAGGCCTCGGCATAGAGCACGATATGTCAGTTAGCAGCACCTTGCTACATCATCTGCATACTATGGTATACGTCGACAGCCCCCAGTAAGAGCTTCCATGCCGAGCTTTGCATAGAGGTACATACTTTCGAGACCTTGCGCAAGTGTTCCTGCTATGCTTCACGATGCACTTGTTCCGGGGAGCCGCTCATCATGATCGAGCAGCCATGAAATTAATATAGATGATAACTGAGAACGAATCACACCTCGACATGAACTCATGAGCTACTCTGCAGTGGTGTAGGCGCAGAGCTCGACGCCTCCGGTTGTGCCGCCAACGCCGCCCTCCGCTCCGCCGACCTCCTCACCGCATCCACCTGCTTCATGAACTTCACGGCCTCCCCAACCTTCCTCTCCCTTGCTCGCTGCCGCCGCTTGTTCAGATGGCTCCAGTCCTCGCCGACGCCGACCTCCTCTCCGTACGGTTTTTCCTCCTTCGGTTCTTTCGGCTTGGGCGGGGGCGCCGAGCGCGTACGCCAGAACCAGGCGTCCACGGCCGAGGACGAGAGCGAGGACTGCCGCGCCTTCCGCTGGGCCTTGCTCATGGCCGCGAGCCGCTGCGCGATCTCTGCTTCCGTCGGGGTGACCTTCGTGTGGAACTTTTCGATCTCGTGGTTGGCCATCATAGCCGGTAGCACTACTTGCTTGAGATACCTGTCATACATTCTGCGCTGAGCCGACTAAATCAAAGGGTAGGAAACGATACTATTCACCTCATGGACCGGATAGGGTGCTCAGGATGTGGTGGGTACGGCACCTGGTTCACCACCCCGGCCCTCTTCACCGAGACCTGCGGCGGGGGCGGGTCGACCGGTGTCTGCGGCGTCTGCTGGGTGACGAGCTTGTACAGCTCCCTCGTCGAAAGGGGCGTCGTTCGGGACTGGAACACAGACCGGACCAGCCGCATGGCCTCGGCTGTAGCGTGCGGCGTCCAAGCATACACGGCCATCGAGAAGAATTATGAGCTGAACGGACACCGAACGCGAGAGTGGCTGAAAGTGCAGAGGAATATTTGTGTCACGCTTGTAGAGGCTACTACGTAGCGTGGCGAAGTGGCCAGGTATGTACCACAAACGTCAATCAACCTTCCAAATTAGTCCTTTGTTTCGATTTACCTCAAAATTCGACTTGCGCAGCAGGCTCCTAAACCATCCGTCCTTAGCGTTCTCGCTCCTCCTTTACTAGGTGCAGTGTTATATAATACAAATCTATTTTTAATTTATTACCGGATACAGAACGAACAAGAGGAGGAGAACGCTATAGGACGGCTGGCACAAATGTCGTCGCCGAGATCCCCGAGGCTGTGTCGGAAATTTCCAAATCGCCTTACGAGGCCTTGCAAGGCTTCCCAATGCGGCAAGGGCGGACCTAAGGACGGATGGTTTAGGAGCCTGCTTGCGCAGGAGCACTGACCTGCTTTCCCCACCAATTGATTCCTGAAAATCATCTCTATCTGTTGTTTAGGTATTTGCGTGGCAGTCGCTGCTATACATCAAGGACGAAACTCTGCCCTCTGTGAATATGGACATGTCTGCACCTGGCCCCGCAGGCCCCTGGTAGGCAATCGTAATGATTCTCTAGAATTGAGACATGGATGGGGAAGCCGCGTCGCTGGAGGCATGAGAACGTCTCAGAAAGCAGCGGCTCGTTCTGTGGTCGCATGCAGACACAACGCACTGTCGGCCCACTGCACTCACCGGAGTTACGATGCTGCGGTACTTCGACTCACCTCTGGGAGCTACCAACACGAACCGTCCGCACATCGACGATCGGATGTTAGTTTGAGAAAGTCTGGACGACCGTAGTTTCTGAACCATTCATGCTCCACTCTCATTGGAAGTTCATATTCTGCTTTCGAGTTTTGGGTATACATAGTACCAATCATATGATACAGCATTCAATGGCACTTCCTTATCTCTGTGCTTGATAGCAACGAGTGAGCTTACTTCGGCACGGGTAGGACATGTGCACTGGCATGAGCGCTTCACCATACCTCGTCTACACGTGGTAAGATCTCACTTCGCAATCTCCCTTTTGATCAGCTCGAAAGTCTTCTCCTCCATCATCGCAAACAGCTCCAGCGCATCCTTCAGCTTGCGGCTCGCCTCCACGTCCTTCTTCAGCGCCTCCGTTAGCAACTTACCGCCGTCGGCGAGGAAGTCCCCTTGAACCGGTGTGGCTAGGAGCGGGAGCAACGTCAGAGACATTCGCCTAGAAAAGGAGCTGACAGTACCTTGGCCAGCCTTCGTAGATTGCAGAGTCTGAAGATGCGTTTCTTTCGGCGACTGCTTTAGTTGGTTCAGGACGCCGCCGGATAGTGTTAGGTGGTCCGAGCCCAGGGAGGTGAGCGCCACGACCTGGAAGAAACATGTTGAGTTTCCCGTCTATCCAGCGCTATGAATGATTAGATACCTCTTCAGCAGTAACAATACTACCACGAGATTACGTAGCAGTAAATCACATGAGCAACGGGGTAAGAGGACCGCACGAACCTGGCGGGCATGACGAGCGTCTTCGACCCGATAGCCTTGAACGTCTGAACAATGGAGCCGATCACGGGCGCCATCGGGTGCTCGACGGATGTATTCGCATAGTCCTTCCACAACGAAGGCTCGAAGTGGACGCGAAGTTCTTCGGAGACATTCAGCGTTGACCCTGTCCCGCAGTCAGAATGCAGAGCGAGCACACACCGTTGAAGTAGGGAGCGACGTAGAGGCAGCCCGCTTGCGACGCTGCGACGGCTTGCTCGACGGAGAAGAGGCACGTAGCCAGGGTACGAATGCCTTCGCGTTCGAGTTGCTGGCAGGCGAGGATGGACTCGGGCGTCGCGGGTATCTTCACGCAGACTCGGTCTCTGGTGCGGGGGTCACTATCTGGGAGGAACTACAAGAAATGTACTAAATTACTTAGGAATGCCGTGCTTCTCAAATAGGGACACAAGCTTCTTGGCGTGCTGGACGGTCCCGTCGGTGCTGTACGCAGTTGCAGGGGCTACCTGAACGTGCACCCGGCCTTTGAGATACGGGTATACTTCCTTCGCTAGGAGAACGTTCTGCGCACACGGGTCGTCAGTGTGAGCTACGCGCGCCAACCGTTATCGAAGCTACCAGGAGGTCCGTGACATCCTTCACGAATTCCGGATCAGACGGGGATCGCTCGGCTTGAGCGAGCTCGATGGCCTTGAGTAAGACCTTATGCCTGTCAGCACGGCTAGCGTTATTGTAGACGATGGCCTGGTTGGACGTCATGTCCTGGAACTGGTAGACCCCGCTGAAGCTTGCGGCATCGTTGGGATCCATCGAGTCCACATCGATGGTCACCCGAGACGCAACAACCGAGAAGAGAGTTTCACCGCTGGCAGACATGCGTGCAATAGCACCTCGCTGAGATGAAGAAGGCGAGAGGGGGGCAGGGCGCGATCCATTCTACAGCCTGAAGTACCCCTCCGGCTCCGGACCGACGGTCCTCTAGGCTGACCTGTCGCATTTGTTATTACGTGCCGCTGTCTTGAATGACGAGGTGCGCAGGGGTCCCCGGCCGGTCGAATGCAAGCCTCCAAAGTCGCAATGCCGTCCGTCGACGACCGTGCGAGATTGCAGACTTGCACTCAGCCTGTTACTCATCCTCAGAGCTACGGAGAATTGAACCCAAGTCCCCCTTTCATGAATTTAAGCCGTACAGTCTCTGGGGTATAAGCTAGAGATTCGCCGAAGCGCCGAAGACGCAGAGACCAGATTCAAGACATGATGGTAGGAGGGAGACGCCCGTACGCGTTGGACTCCGACGGCCATCACGAGTACCGTGGCCAACGTCTGTAACGAGCATCGACCGTCATTTCTGAATGTCTCTCATAAGTGACCCAGAGTAAGTCTATACCATCTGCTACGAACAAGATCAAAAATCTTTACTGAAATTGAAGGATACATGTAGCTTTCTGATACACAGCATACGACTGGAATACCTACGGAATGTGGACGACCCCTACGGACCGAGACTGATCTCGTTGAACCCTGCGTACAACACCAACCCTTACATCGTCGCTGCCGGGCTCGCAGATATCGAGAGATGGCCCGAGCTGGCGGCACCGACGAGTCCTCTGCCCACCGAGACCGAGACAGGGCGCCCCGTCGGCGGGGCTAACCTGAAGCACACTCATACGATAATGGGCCCTTCTCGGACAGGGATGATCGGGATGCGGGTGAACGGTAAGAGAGAATCAACTTCCAAGTCTCTCCGAAGAGCCAGGTCTGCGCGAGCCGCGGCGGATCCTGAGAGCATCAAAGTCGTGGTGGACGCTGGATCGACCAAGGACTCCGGGGGGCCGAACGGGGCGTCCTTGCAGCAGCAGGCTGTCCAAGGAGATGAGCAGGTAACCATTACTACGTCTGCACCGGAATCTGAGCCACCGAAGGCCACCGTCTCCGCCAATCCCAATCCTGAGAGATCGGAGCCCCCAGCGCCAGAGGTCCCTGCGAAGGTGCCGTTTATACCAAAGTTCAAGGGCGCGGCTGAGATGGAGGCGCGGCGGCGCGCCCGCCTTGAAGCGCGGAGACCGCCTGCAATTAATACTGCCCGACCACCTCCCAAGGCAGTCAACCTTGACCCGGAGATTTCGTCGTCGGACTCAGAGGGTGCAGCCGCAGACGAGGAGTCTGAGTCCGAGTCTGAGTCTGATGAATCCGACGACATACCTGATGCTGGGGAAGACATTGACGGAGACGAATTCGATCCGTATGCATCGTCTACATTTCAGGTTCGGTGTGCTAGCTAACGTTACTTCCAGAGACTTTGCAGCGACCCGCACGCCCGGGGTTGCTTCGGATAGCGCCTCCGAAATGTTCTACGTGCTCTCAAGCGGCAACTCGGGGGGGCTATCAGCCTCGAACCCATCTGCACTTGCCACATCCCTCCTCACTAGCTCACAGCGCCAGCCACGCCTGAGCCCCGTCACCGAGAGCCGCACAAGCGAGGAGCACAAGGCAGCTAACGGCGAACGCACAGGGCCGCCGCGGACGCAAATCGAGACCGGCTTCGAGATGGTGTCGATGCCCCCGCGAACTCAGCCCGGCGCGAACACATCTCCCGCGCCCAAAGAGAGCGCACCCGCGGACGCGCTGTTCGCGCGGAAGAAGGTGCCGCCCGCGCGCGCCGCCAAGTCCGCGCTGACGGCGATGCTCGCGTCCGCGTCGAGCAACTCGTCGAACCCGTTCACGGAGCTGTACGCGGCGATCTCCGGGCGCGCGGAGAAGGAGTCCATGAGCGTGCAGATATACTTCCCGCACGCGCGCGAGCCTGCGGGCCGCGCGATGGAGCTGAACGTCAGGAAGGACGCGACGGTCGAGGAGGTCGTGGGCTTTGCGCTGTGGAGCTATTGGGAGGAGGGGTGGCTGCCGAGGCTGGATGAGGGCTTGGGCGGGGAGGACGATCCGAAGAGAGAGGTAAAGTTGTCTGCTATCGGGTGGATACTGAGGATTGCGGAGGAGGATGGGGAGGTGGACGAGGACTTTCCGCGTCTGTGCGCTTCCGCTTCCTCTGGTAGGCATATACTCATGCGCTATCCTTATTTGCACAGCTCCGGACCGTACAGCGAAGATATCCAAATTCAACTTCGACGCATACGCAATACTAGAGGCGAACCCCTCACAAGGTCAGTTGTCGGGACCTCTAAAGGGTACCGTGTATTGACAATAGTTTCTAGTACAACAAAACCGTGTGCTCGAAAGCAAGCTGCAGCGACGCCCCTCAAGGGTCATGGCGGCTAAGAAGAAAGTGGAACTCGCCCCCGCTGGGTTGGCGCCGCCTGGTATCACAGGTCCAGGCACCAGCGCAATGCTTGGGTCTACGTTGGCGTCGTCGCAGGGTATGCTATCGTCGTCGCTCGGCCCGTCATCCAGCTATGGCCCGCAGGTGTTCCTGCGTATCCGGATCGCGGAGGCTGTTGATTCAGTGCATGTCTACACAACCGTCCAAGTGTAAGTCCATCTTCCAGCACTCGTGAGGTGCGCGATTGACAGGCTTTGATGCACCAGGTCGTCCGGGACTTACATGCAGGAAGTCCTTGAGCTGGTTTGCCGGAAGCGCAAACTTGCGGATCCGAACCAATATGCACTTATACTGCCTGAACAGAATATTCTTGTTCCCCTGGATCGCACGGTCGCATCCCTGGAAGGTAAGACCATATTGGTCCTCGCCAAGCGGTCTATGCTGCAAGAGATGGGTGTCCGGGTCGACAAACAAGCTGGCCGTACTACCGATCCTAACGGTAAGTTCTGAGGGAGGAGGTTGTACGCGTATCAGCTCACAGTGTTTTGTCACTTAGCATCCATATTCAAACGACAATCGGAGGTGCCAGAAGTCGGGTTCAGCGCGGCCCTGGATTACATGGCGGCTTACAAGGTAGGGCGTTAACTGCAATCGCTCGTCTGTGTGCTGAGACCGTCCCTAGAAATACACGGTCCACCGCAAGATACCGATGTTGGTCGGCCGCCTGGAGAGAGTACTCGCCTTCGACGGGGGTTATATCCATATCATGCCCTCTGCGCACAAAGCCAAGGCGGTATTCGAGAGTGGAAAGACGGCGTCCTACAAGATTGACAGCGTCATAAAGTGCAAGCAGTCGTCGAAGTCGTCTTCGTTCAAGTTTGTTGTCCACCAGGACGGGCGCGTGAAGAGGTACGATTTTGAGGCGGAAAGTCCCAAGGCTGCTGGTGAGTCGCAAATGACGTGGTGGTGGACTACCTGGTACTGAATGACTTTGTGTGGTGTAGCTGAGATCGTCAAGACGATACGGGAGATGAAGATGAAGGCGAATTTGGAGCGGTCTGGCACCGTCAATAGGTCTCGTCGCAGCAGACAGGTCATGTAAGATAGTGAATTCTCGCTTGTATACCCTGCACATGTCATCGTATCACAGTGGCTGTATATTCTGTATCACTATGTGTGTCGATCTTATCTCTCCCCGCTTTAACGGTTGTCTGTCGACGGTGTGCCCATCGAGTGTAAGTGCGTGACATGGTAGACTACAAAATAAAGCTAGGTCACGCGTGACATCCTACAGACCAAACTTTCTGGACTTGGCCTTTACAGTGGGGGTCGGCAACTCCTGCCAAATTTAAACTCCGACCCGCGCGTCACGCTTTAGCCACACCAGCCAGGAAACCTTGGCACCGTGCGGTGCAAACTCTGGGCTCAGTAGCTACTGTAAAATCGCGAAACAAATTGTAGATAGTCTTTTGTATAGCGAAGAATCTATCCTTCCCGTCCAATTTTGCGATTTTGTCCTTGAAGGTAGAAAACCGGACAATTATGGGGGCTATTTAGCCCAGAAACACACATACAAAGTACAAATCGGAAAAAAGGACGGGAAGGATGTGATTTTTCGTCCATAAAATAATATTATATGATTTTTCTGGGAATTGTGGTGCTGTGTGGAATCCACAGTTTGCACCACAACGACGTGCAGCCCGATGAGCCTGTTCGGCAAATGCCGAAACGCGTCGAATGAGCGCGTCGCGACGCGTCGGGTCGTGTTTTTACGGTGACACATCACTTCTGGCCGGTCTCGCAGCTATTCTGGGCTGCGAGATTGACCTGCTGGGCTTCCTCGTCATGGGTAGGCCACGGATAGGGCGTTCTCGAGGACAGAAGACTCAATTCCGGAAGATAGGACCTGAAGGCCGTAAACCAGTCTATGATAAGGAGAATCTGCCTCCGCGCGGGTCCCGGGGGCTTCAGCAAAGAGTGCATGAGCATGAAAAGGCTATTAAAGCGCTCTCACGGACCAACTCATCTCTCTCAGAGGATAACTCTAACTTACAAGAAGTTAATCACTCCCTTCAGACTAGACTAGAAGAGACTGAGTTTGCTGTTGGTCTTGGAGATATGCAGCTGGAACTGGCGCATTCTGCCTTTGAACGTGCCGAAGAGCAAGTTAACATGAAGAGTGGGCAATTAGCTGCAGCTCAGGAGGCTGGGTCATCTGCATTGCAGCAATTGGACAAGGTGCAGACTGAAAACAGGTCATTGAGGAAGGACAAGGACACACTCCGGAAACGGATCTCACGTGCATCTGGGCAGCAAGATCGGGCCATCCAGAAGGCAGTAGAGAAGGCTGAGCTTGCACACCAAGCTGTGGATCTGACAACAAAGGGTACCTACACCAGTGACTCTCGTAATATGGTCCGGGACCTTGTTTCGGGGGGCCGGGTGGAAGGAGCAAATGTCAATGCTGTTATTAAGATTGTTGCTAATGGTCTTGGGGTAGACCTTGATGAGTTGAGGATTCCCAGTGCACGGAGTGTTGGCCGGATGGTTAGCGAAGGGTATATTGCTGGCCAGCTTCAGTCAGTTGACGAGATGCACCAAGCAAAAAGTGAGTGTTTTTCAGCCACTGCCGAAGCAATTCAGCCTTATATCGGGTAGACTTCACTATCAGTGGTGATGGGACATCACACAGACATACTCAGTATGAGTCCAAGCATGTTGCCCTGCCGGTTCCTTCTTACAACATCAGCGAAGCAGCAAAACAGTTTCCAGAAATCCCTGCTAATCGGTTTTACAATATTGGATCTGCTGTCAATCATACCAGCGAGAGCCAGCTCGAAGGATGGGAGAAGTTATTTAAGGCTCATTATGCTCTCTGGAATGAGAGTCCTCTGGCGAAGGAAAAGTTAGACTGGCGTGAGCTTCTCCCAAAGCTCAAAGGTATTCTTACCGATCATGCAGAGGATCAGAAGAAGCTTGCCCGTCTCTTCCAAGTATGGAAGGATCGTGTTGACCGAGAGATCCGAGGTGAAGAGGTGCTCCTGGGGAAGTCTTCAGCTGAACTTGTGGCGATTTTATGTGATGTCAACCACCGGAAAATCTTGGACGCTGGAGGGATTGCAGCATGGGATAACCTTCCTGATGAAGAGCAGATTGAGCGGGATAGGAAGGCATTCCAGGAGCTTCTTATGCAGTACGGTGAAGAAGCTTTCCAAAAGCTCAGTGATGAGGAGAAGGAAGAGGCAGAGCGCTTTATCTGGTCTGGATGCACAATGCACAAGGAACTAAATGCGGTCAAAGGTGGTAACACACGGATGATGGCATTTTGGGGAGAGAAAGGCCTCATTGGTCCTATCAAGCTCATGAACCGTGATAATGATGCAGCTGCCGCACTAGGGTCTTCAGAAGCCAAGAGACGTGCTGATGATGTTTCAGAAGGTGGTGGTGTCAAGACAACAAAACTCGCAGGTATGCCATAAATAACATTTTTTATTCCGCTGATAGTGCTGAGAATACATTAGGAAGCATCTTAAATGATCAGAACAAGAAGAAAGGGCAACAAGACACTTTTGTGTATTTCTTTCTTGTGGAGCTCAGCCTTGCAGTACGTTTCCCGGACACCAGCAATACACGGTACCAGTCACATTGTGAGGCAGCTGTAGCACTTCTGGTCCACCTTCAGCTCTACCTGACATTCCTTGAACTGGTCCGTGACAAGAAGGAGAAGCGCAACTTCAACCACATGGAAGCAAACCTTTACAAAGCCTTACAAGATATTCCAACAATAACTGAGCTTTGCGTTCTGGCCTTATATGCCCAAGCAATCAGTCATCCATACATCCAGTATGTTCGTGAAGGCTCCAAGAATATCCTTGACCTTGGAGAGCTTCACATGAAGGTTGAGGTCTTCTGTGCCTCAGTTGTCGCCAATCAGACCTGCTTCTGGCTGCGGATGCAACATATGTGACTGGGACATTGAATGGTCAGTCTTGGCATCGCCCTGATGTATTTTATGTCATTCAAGCCCTCAAGCCTTGACTCCCTCATTTACAAGGTGCTCTGGTGGCATTCTTCAGTGGTGCATTGGAGACATGGAAGCGGTTCAGTATGGAATTCAAGGACGGTGGCAAGATTTCACAGCTTTCACCAGCCCAGCGTCAAGCTTCCTTCATGCATACAACTAACGATGCAAATGAGGGTAGCCTCGGATCCATGCGGCAACAGCTTCTCCGCAATTCATGTCTTACTTTGCATGCTTTCAATGCAAGACGTATGTGGAAGGTGAACAACACAAAGGGGTGGATGGCTGCAAAAGCAACACCAGAGGTGGAGATGTTCATGAAGAAGAAAGCTCGTGAGCTGGATGCCAGTGGAGCAGAGAAGAAGAGGAAGCAAGAGCTAGTTGAGACTGAGAAGGAGGAAGTTGAAACAAAGCGTAGGAAGATCAGGGAAAAGGTGGAGAAAGAGAGGAAGCACATGGCTGAGCTTGAGAAGATCAGTCTTTGGACTGACCTTCAGCAGATCCAGCAACATCCTGGAACCAATGAGCAGCTTGATGAGCAGCTTGACAAGCACAGGCAACTGGAGATCAAGGCAGGGATCTCCAAAGAGCAGAGGCTTGTCCCCATGAAGTCCAAGGTTACCAAGAAAAGCGAGAAGATTACTGCACTATTGGAGGCCGTCAAGAGATTCTCTGCAGGCTACCCTTGTAATTCTTTACCAGCTGCTATAATGCCTGAGTCTGAGGACTCTGAAGAGGAATACTGATTTATTACTAATATAGAGCACTATATAGACTGTAATAGCACTTCTTATTGTAGATATTATCCATATAGCCCTGTATCTGATACTACCAATCTATATCCTTGTAGTTCAGCTCACTACCACGAAGGAATATGCCAAACAACCCGAGATGAGTAGCGAGGCCAGATTGCGAGACGCGAGTGTGACAATCACGGTCACGCGGACATTCGGCTGGCAGGAGTTGCCGACCCCCATTTACAGGTTCTCCTCATCCCCGATACTGGTAAGCAAGTCCGCCTGTAATTCTCCTTCTGCTGTAATACCTTTACTTCCAAGGCCAGCGATGGTTCTCCCGCACGACCTCTGCGCCCACCTGCAAAACGCCTTCCGAGCGCGGCACCTGCAGGTCGCCGTAGCGCACACCACCCAGAACCTCGGGATCCTCTCCATCCTCCTGCGTGCCGGCTTCCTCACGAGCCTCACGCGGGGGACCGCCCAGGCGCCCGCGCCATTAGACTGGGCGAAAGCAGGCGAAGCCGAGCGAAGGATATGGGCGCAGCTCAAGTACCGCGACGACCGCCCCGTGCTGAGCGCGATGGAGCTCGTGAGCCGGCCGAGCAAGCGTATCTTTATGGACGCGGGCGAGATTCGCAGAATATGCTCGGGACGGCGCGCGCAGACGATTAAGCCGCTGGGGATGGGCGAGATTGCGGTCGTGCACACGGATAGCAAGGAGCATGAATGGGTGGAGGCGCGGGAGGCGGTCAGGTTGAATTTGGAGGGGGAGGTCATCTGCCGGGCGCGGTAGCGGTCTGGGGAGCCTTGTGCTATCGTATGTGTCTCTCATGGTTCGCTGCCGTTGTGTCCATCTCATTTCCAACCAGTATTACTTTGGTATACAATCCACTCTAATCACTCGCCACTCCGATCCGCCTCCGAGGTCGCGACCTGACCACGAAACCATGCACCTGAGTTTCCTTCAGCTGGACAACACAGTCTGCCCGCAGACTACGAGAGCTGGCAAAAGTATATGCGCTATTATTGCATCTATCATGTGTACTATAATGCAACACCATTCCATTTTCCCTCAGGCCTCTACAGAAAATCCAGCCCCATGCCAACCTGGAACCCCCTCCTATAGCCATCACTCTTGCTCGCCACAAGGGGGACACCAAAGTTCACCTCCAGCCGCACCGGATCGAAGCGGTATATAAGGCCGACGCCGACAGACACTGCGGGCTTCGTTATGCAGGAGACGACGTTTTCTTGCAGGGATTTTGCTGTAAATGCCGTGTCAGTTGTCGGTGGAAGGCAGGGGGGAGGGAAGACGCACTTTTGTCTAGGGCGTCTAGCCTTCCGGCGTTGACGAATCCGTGTAGTTTAAGCGGCCAGTGCGGTTTGCGGGGTAAGTCCGAGACAACACTCAGGCCGGCGGAGTAGTACAGGTCTCCGCCCAATGAATCCGCTGGAACGAGAGACATCCTCAATATCATCAATATATGCGTTCCGTAAGTGGACACGCACGACCGTCTCGGGGCCCCATACTATTTGCCCTGAACATCCTGACGCTGGTCGGCCCGCCGAGCTGGAACCGGTCGGGTAACAACGTCGGCCGGCCGATACCCCACAGCAAGCCAGCCCTCACCGCGCCTGATACCGCCTGTACAATTACGATTCGAGTCAGTGTTCGAGATACTCTTTGACCAGAATGCAGTTGTGCCGTACAACACCGGGTAGGATCGGCCGTGAGCACTGGGCCTCCGCCTCGGTCTTGTAGAACGAGGAGTCCCCGCCGAGCCCTGCAAATTCATGGAAGAATTTGAGGAAGACGCCGCGCGTGGCGGCGAGCTTGTCGTTCCGCGTGTCGAGCGTCCACGAGTGTGAGATGGAGGATTTCAGCGTTTCCCCTGCCGCTTCGCGTATGCTATGGGATTATGAATGGTGTGAAAAAGACGCGAATGATAGGCGAGTGGGTGTCGTACCTTATCGACGCCGAGGGGATGAGGCTCCCGATATGTCGTGAAACGGCCTCGTATGCAAGCTCATGCCGTCCAGAGAAAAACGTCCCGCTCTATCATATACAAATCAAACCAAGGCGGGGGTAGGAAGGTGTGAACGGCACGCCCGACGGGAGAACACTCGAGCTGACCTAGCTCACCCTGACTGCAGCCCGGACACCGCGCACGCCCTCGGTGCAGCTCGCGAAGCTCGAGTTGTCGCGGTCGAGCCCGAAGACGGACAGGTCCGCCCACGTGCGGAGCGTGGGGGAGAGCGGGACGGCGAGGTTCGCGTGATAGGCGCGGCGCGTCTTGGTGCCGAGGGAGAGGTTGGCCTCGAAGGATTCGGCGCCGCCGAAGGCGTTGCGCACGCGCGCGGTCGCGCTCTGCGTTATTCGTATTCGTCAGGCGCGCACCCTGGGGTGATGGAGATGGACTCACCGCGCCGCCCTCGTTGTTCCCGAACTCAGTGGAAGTCTTGACATAAAACCGGCCTTTCTCGCGCGTCTTGAAGACGACATCGACGTCGCGGTCCGTCGCGAGCGGATCGCGGCTCGGCTCAATTTTGGCCTCGACGTGACTGAAGATGTCGCTGTCCTGCAGAATATGGCTGATGCGGCGGGTGGTGTGCAGAACAGATTCGAGGGTAGAAGTTTCTGCAGCGGCAGGGGCGAGGAGGGGGTTGATGAGGAAGCCGAGGAAGGACGAGCGCGTGTGCGGGGCGCCCTCAACGCGCACGGCGGCGATGCGCAGCGGCGTCGAGAGGTTGCTGTTCACCTGCGCAATGGAATAAGAATATTCAGCGAGGCGCAGGTTGCCAGGCTGCTGCTTGTCTGCTTACCACTTCCGTAAGACGCAGGACGGCGGACTCGTACTCGCCCCTCAGCTTGCGCGCGAGTCGTTCCTCCTGCCATCGCTTCAGCTTTTCGAGCTCATCGGGCTCGTTGTCGCGCGGCGCCGACGTCTTTTGCAGCGGCGGCTTGAGGCGGTCGTCGAAGAGGTCGCCCTCGGAGTCCATCGGTGCTGCCAGAGCACGATACGGCGGGATCTACACGGCGGGGACCGTGGGAACCGAGTGCACGGGAAAATCCCAGGCTTGTCCCCAGACTACCTGAACGACTCCCAGGACCGCTGAGTCTAAATAGCAATAGCTTGCAATGATTGGCCCAGTTGAAACACCGCTTCAGAAGGCTGGGAGGACGTCTGCTCTCGGAGGTCGGTACGGCACTGGACATTCCCACGAGTAATTCTGGTTATCAGCTTGACAGTCAAAATGCAGCGGCCACCGTCCTCGCTGGCGACGACAGCGCCCAGCCATGTCCGCGACGTACATGCACTACGCCGCGCCCTCGTCTCTGCCGTCCGACTACGCCATTCTTTCCCGCTACGCCGGGCATAACGGCGACGCACACGAAGATGACTCGGACGCCGAGGAGCGAGAGCGGGACTCGCTGCTGCCCCCCGAGGACGAAGAGCGGCCAGGCCGGCGGAGCAGCCTCCCCCCGCCGTTCATTAGGCCGCTGAACCCGACAATAGCTCCCATATCCGCGAGGGACAAGTCTTTGGGGCCCGTGCCGACCGAGAATACCCCTCTCCTGAACCCGCTAGTGCCCCGGATAGAGGAGGAAGTCGATGCGCCGGGGCACGACTCCGAGACGACGCTCTCGCGCAGAGTGTGGGAGGAGATCAAGATCCTCGTCAAGTACACCTTACCGGTCTTTGGGTAAATGAGCATCATTTGTGCACCGCTAGTTCCTCCGTAATTGAGATCGGACTCGGTCAGGTCGCATGTGTTGGAATATTCGCTCGTGGTAGCGTCTGTTATTTCTATCGGACATTTGTCGACTACTGCTCTGGCTGCTGCCACTCTGGGGTCTATGACTGCCAGCGTGACGGGTCTGTCCATCGTCCAGGGCTTCGCCAGTGCGCTCGACACCATGCTCCCGAGCGCATGGACGTCCTCAGAGCCCAAGCTCGTCGGCCTCTGGGCTCAGCGTATGGGTAAGCGTGCCTATCCAAATCTTCCCCTTTGGCCCGACTAACGCCTCGTTCTGCGTAGCCGTGGTTATGGCAGCTTGCTTGATTGTAAGACCAGACGTCCTAGTTTGACCGCCTCCTTGCTCATGCTTGCACAAGCCCATCCTTTTCGTATGGTTCAATGCAGAGTCAATCCTCCTCTTCCTCAAACAGGAGCCGGAAGTTGCCCACCTCGCCGGAATCTACCTCAAGTGGACCTCCATCGGCCTCCCCGCGTACATGTTCAACAGTATCTCCCGGTACGCACTTGCCCCCCAGCCAAAGAGATTTATTTGCTGACATGATGACACACAGGCGATACTTCCAGTCCCAGGGACTGTTCACGGTCCCCACACGCATCATCATGGTCGTCGCCCCGATCAACGCCGTCCTAAACTACTTCCTCGGTATGGCCCGCTTTCCCCGAATTATCTCAATCTCCATCTCACCTCGTAATATGATACGTAGTCTGGGGTCCGAAGCCGTTCTCACTAGGCTTCATCGGCGCCCCCATCGCCACCGCCATTTCCTTCAACCTGATCTCCATCGCGTCGATCATATACGGTGTGTTCTTCGTCCCGCGCACTGCGTGGTACCCGATTTCGCGGCGGAGCTTTACGAGTCTGGGGATTCTGGTGCAGCTGGGGCTGTCCGGCGCTGCGCAAGTGTGCTCTGAGGCGAGTGGTTTGGTTTTACCGTCGTGGTGTCGGATCTGAGAGTGGATGTGTGTGGTGTAGTGGTGGTCGTGGGAGCTAGTAGGACGTAAGTTCTATTCTCCGCAACATCGGCCTTGAGCTCATACTCTCGTCCTTACAGTTGCCGCCAGCTTGTAAGTGCTTTTTTCGACTCTACCGGTGCGAGAACTTGGATTCAACATGGTATTGCCTCAGACTCGGTCCCGCGGCACTGGCCACGCAGTCGGTACTGCTTGTCTCGGCTTCGACTACTTTCCAAGCGCCCTTTGCGCTCAGTGTTGCCACCTCCGTCAGGTCCGTATGGTACTCACTAGCCTACTAGCGACGTCTGATAATCCTGACACATCATATTTACTAGAGTCGGCAATCTTCTTGGCGAGGAGAACGCGAAGCGTGCCGGCATTGCAGCCAACTCCTCGTTACTGGTGACGCTGGCGATAGCCAGTATCGCAAGGTGACTCCAGCCAGGATACTGTGCATTCGACTGTCAGCACTGACGACACATTGGTTGCAACAGCACGATGTTCATGATCTTCCGCAAGTCGTGGGGACACTTGTTCAACGACGATCCGGCCGTCGTCGAGCTGGTGGCCTCGATTCTGCCGCTCGTCGCCCTCTTCCAGGTGTTTGACGGCTTGGGTGCTACGACTGGTGGGATTCTGCGCGCTAGGGGCAAGCAGGTACGCATTTTGCGTCCTTCCGTGTCGTGGTCATATGTCCTGACATAGCAAACAACCGCCCCTTGTTCCAGTTCACGGGAGCCATGCTGAACCTAAGGTCGGGCATACCGTTTACCCATGCAGTCTGGTGATGCCCTCGGACTGACAGTATTCACAGTGGTTACTACCTCATCGGGATCCCATTCGGCCTGTGGCTGGCGTTCAAGCGCGACATGGGGCTCGCGGGGCTGTGGATCGGGTTGACGGTGTCGCTCGTGTTCGTCGCGACGATCGGCGCGTATCTGTGCTTGGGCGCGGACTGGGAGCGGGAGGTCGAGAAGGTGCGGGTGAGGCTCGCGGCGGATAAGCGGGCGGAGCAGCGGGCGGGTGCGCAGCAGCATGTCTGAGGTCTAGGATTGCGAGGGTCAAGGCCGCAGGCAAAGGGAACGCGGGAGGCGAAGAGGATGTTTCGCTAAGGTGCCTGATCGCGATCGGATCCTGTGCTGGGCTAGCGCGGAAGAGAAGTGGTCGATCGGTGGGGAACTGGGGTTTGGATTGCAATGCTTTTAAATTTGGTGATGAGAATTGAACGTTGAATGCTGATGATTTCGCGAGATTACAGAGTACAATTTGTAGCATAGCATACCTCCGTATCATGATCCTGATGAGTAGAGTCTTGTTTTCCGCCGAATTACATCTTGGCAATACGAGTCAAATGTAGGGGCGCGTTTGGCCTGGGAACAGCAGGTGGCGGGTCAGGTGCGCCTTGCCTCCGTCCACTTCTGTACTAGCGCACTTACTGACCGACCACTAGCAGCGGGTTGTATTCAGCGCTAAATAAAAATGCCCGGTGCAATTGGCCAAGCTGCAGTCCGGGGTAATCAGACTTGCCATCAGGACTTATAAGCCAGGCTCGACCGTGACGGGACGCGTTGACCCCTCGTGCTCAACGTCTCCCTGCACGGTCGACTCTGGCGCTATGTCGACGACTCGTTCTGATACGAATTACGAGAGGAGCAGCCCGAGTTACCAGGAGAAGTCTGCGGAGAGCAAGTATGAGACGGTCGACCCCGAGATTGACCTCCTGGCGTTCTATGAGGATAGGGCTGGGCGGCTCGTTGTGGATCCCGAGTGAGAGCCGCGTTCTTACAGCAAAGGTCTATATCTGAGACTTTCCACGTTTCGTGTCTTGCGTTCAGAGAAGCGCGGATCGAATTAGGCGATGCTGTCGCGTCGAGGCTGAAACTTACCAAGGATGGGACGAAGGTGCTCTGGCCACAGCCTACGGATGACCCAGAGGACCCACAGAACGTGCGCTCACTCTCACAAATTCTCTCTTCTGTGACCGCGCGTGCGAGCACTGAGACTTATGTACTTGTTATTTCAGTGGAGTGATCGAAGGAAGGCCCTCCAGCTCTTCATCATCACTCTGGCAGCAATTGTGCCGGATTTTGATTCCGGCGTAGGTGAGTGCTCGGGTGCTAGGTCCTGATTCTGAGACCCTGATGGATAAACCACAAGGCATCGCTGCGATCTTTGCCTTGGCTGAGGAATATCATACCACGACGGGTGTGATAAACAATCTCACCTCAAAGTGCGTTTTGTTTTATGAGTTCCTGCTGAGCTACGAAGGCTAAGATGTTAACATCCTTATTAGCTGGAGTATATTCTTGTTAGGTGCGTTTGAGACTAGGGTGCCTTATGTAGCGTCGCGACCCATTTTGCTCTCGCAGGGTGGGGCGGTATCTTCGCCGTCATGCTCATGCGCCGCTTCGGAAGACTGCCAATTCTTTTCTGGTCACAAGTGAGAAGGCTTCGCGATGGGTAATTGGCTCGTAAACTGAGGGATCACGATTTAGGTTTTAGCCTTGGGCTTCTTGGTCGGTTGCACCTTCGCGCCCAATCTGAAGACCTTCGCTGGTGAGTGTCCCGGAGGGTAGTCAGCGGTTAGATGCTAATTGGGCCCGGTTCAGCGATGCGCTGCTTGACTGCTTTCTTCGCGTACGTGAGCTCTCGGTCGTGAGACGACAGACCAATGCTTATAGTTCTATAGGACATGTCCACAAGTTACAGTAGGTGTTCCGTATGAAACCCAGGAATGCCCTTTTCAGATGTAATTCTGGTATAGGGTCTTTACATCGTCACGGATATGTTCCCGTTCCATCTGCAAGCTCGCAAGGTGACTCGTTTTACCGTTACATTGGAAGCCTGCGCTGATCATAAATGACTTAGCTCAACATCTGGACCATGGGCTTCATCGTGTCTCCCTTTGTGTCTCCGTTCGCTTTCGGGTTCCTGGTTGCCAGAGCGAAGTGCGTATACTCAGTCCACTTGACGTATCGCCAGATTGACGCGGTCCGTTGTATTGCAGCTGGAGATGGTCGTACGGGATTGCGTGTATGTACGGCGCAGTCGTGGTTGCCCTCATCGCACTTTTTGGTGAAGAGACGTGTGTAGTCCCCTCCTAGTCAAGTGAGTCTGGGAGACAGATGTTCATTCTTGACGTATAGAATGTACGACCGTTCGATTAAACCCGTGCCACCCCGCCCGAGCTCGGGATTGCGCTACCGGGTTGAAACCTTGCTCGGGATGATGGGCCTCAAGATGGCGAAGTACCGGCCCACCGTCATGAGCGGTCTCGTGAGCCACATCAACGTACTGTGGCGGCCGCATCTGTTGGGCATCCTGCTGTTCGAGGTAAGCTTTCGATGGGCCATCCTCTGCGTATTTGTCTTTCTACTGACACTGTATTCTGCCCCGGCTAGGCTATGCTCTTCGGATTCAGTATAGGCATCAATGTGAGCATCGCTGCATTGACGTGATATCCAACGCAAAGAAAGACTCGTTTGTCTTCCGTCATAGGTAACCATGGCGGTCTTCCTCGGCACGCCGCCGCCTGTCGGGTTTGGCTGGAGTCAGTATGCTATCGCCGGGAGCTACGGGACCCCGATCGTGCGTACTTGCTCATTGCTTGACACGAGTCAGATACCATACTGACGTTATCCGTGCAGGTCGCGGTTCTAATTGGTGAGCTCACGGGCCGCTACGCGAACGACTGGATTCAAAGCTGGTCTATTCGACGGAATAAGGGTGTATTCGAAGCTGAGAGCCGGTTGTGGTGAGCACTGCGTCGACCGGAGCCTTGGTTCACTCTAAATGCACGCAGGGCATGTTATATCGCGATACCCCTTTACATTTGTGGATTCGTGCTCCTCGGAGCGGCTGTGGAGAACCATTTATCTCCCGGCGCCGTGGTGATGGGGTGGGGGATCGCCGAGGTGGCTGTCATGATCAACACAGTCGCCGTCTGTGAGTGCTCCGCGTTGCCCAGTCTATTCAATGCTAACCGGCACCGGCCCTCGGGGGTAGACGCGTATTGCAATGACTGCTTCCCTAAGAACCACGGGGAGATCAGCTCGTTGATCAACTTGACGAGGACGCTCGGCGGGTTCAGCGTAGCGTACTTCCAGGTGCCCTGGGCCGAGAGGCATGGCGCGCTGCAGGTGTTTGGGTGCGAAGCTGCGTAAGTCCTTCCACGTACCTGGTCTGGTGCACTTGATGCTGATGGAACGCAGTATCGTAGTTGCTCTGTTCCTCTTCATTGTACCTACGCTGCAAGTGAAGGGGTCTCGCCTGAGGGTGAGTGTCTGTGCCCTGACCGCGTCAACCACATAGACTCACATGATCACGTCGGGTCCCAGGAACGCTTTTCGATTTAGAATTGCGAAGAGGATCCATTGCGCCACAGCGCGCCGGTGTATTTGTATTGCATGTTGCGATTATCGACGATCTGTTATGTGACTCCTCTGGTGGTGTCCTAATTCGCAGGAAACCTTCATTAAATGCGGCAGTGGTCACAACACGAAAGGCTCAGTAGCTAACGTGCGGATCTGGCGTCTACTTGTACTCGGTTCTCCGCGGCTGAAGGCGGAAACCTTGTAACTACAAAGTCAAAACCTGGCGTTGGCTTGGCGTAAGCGGGAATGACGTGGTAAGATTCCGAGGAGACGAGTCTGTTGAAATTCAACGATCAAGTAATTTAGATTATTGCTTGGATACCAATGGAGAAGAAGAGAGGAGACGACTGGTGAGTAAGATTAGATCTAAAACATGAAGTCATGGCGGCATTGATATTGCGTCTGGTTTGGTCCACTAAACGCGCATTGCACTTGATATCTGATACTGCAGCAAGGCTTTAAATCCGCAAGAGCTTCCCCGAAGAATAATATGATTTCTTTGAGGAAGCTTCATGTGCGAACAGCTCTATGTTGATTCCCCGGGCAGGCACGAACAGTTGTTTAAGGTCGTATGTACCGTTGACCCTCGGAAACCGGGACCGTTGGTAGCCCGGAGCCCGACAGAAGATACGATCTTCGGGGCCCGGACGTCTGCGAAGTTGAGCGGAACCGTCCCATTCGAGACTACTGACGCAGCAAAGAAGACGAGAGTTACCTGTCCTGGTTACGCGGGAGACTGGCGCATGGGGCTTTTAATGAACCGTAGGAGACCATGCGCGCGTACGCACTTGAAAAATTTGTGGCGAAGCACTAGACTGAAGAAAATGAGAAAGGAAACACCCTAGATTACATAGTACGCTTCACGACTTCCTCTGATGTTTTTTTCAGTTTCAGAGATGCAGCAGAAGGAAAAGAAAAGACGGCGTGCATAATACGAAAACTTGACGATTTTCAAGGCACATCGTTCGTGGCAAGAGGAGGGCGGCATCGTCGGCAAAATTGCCTTATTCGGATATGATGCCACATTCTTAAACCTGCGCAGAGTTGCAATAGCCCGCCTCGGCGTTGCTCAATAGTTTTGGCCTAGCTCTATTCATAGTTTGGGTACGACTTCTCCGGCAATACGTACGACCCACCATTTATCGTGACTCCAGCGTGCGACAGGTCGCGCGGTCCAGATGTCTGATGGACATCTCAAAGCCTTTTGCATTCTTCCAGTTTGTTTCGCCCGGTGGATAGAAAACGACCAGAAGAAAATAAAAGACTCTGACAAATGAGACTATATAATTCGCGGTTCTTCTTGCGGAACTTCCCTCCCCCGCTCCCTCCCTTCCCCGCCTTACGCCATGGCCGACCTCCTCGCAGCGTTGAGCCTTCTCCCTCCGGATGTGAATCGGTTCTCCTACGTAGCTGAATACCTTAGGGAGTCGTTTATTCTCATTAATCCCCTTTGGTACGCCCGTCTACCGCTTGGTTTCATGAATGGGCACCTCATGAAATCTCAGGGTTCATGTTTTACTTTACGTCTTTGCCGTATCGTTCGCCATGTAAGTAAGCTGGTGGAAATATCTTCGATGAAGTGTGACCTGCTTTTGCTAATGTCCATGCGCTCAGCGCCTTGATTCTGACAGTAGTGGCACTCTTGGCGAAGGTCAAGAGCGGTGAATTCTATCTGTACCGATTCAACGGTGGCCTGGTGATCCCCAATGCGTGAGCGGCGACCCATATACCGTGATTTACATCTTGATGACCGCTGCTTTCATCCAGTGTTGTACTGTATTCCATATGGATCGGTATCTTTATCGCCATGATGTTCGCCAATCTCATCTGGCAAATATGGTGTGACGACAAGCAGCAGGTACGGAGACTTTCAGCTCGCTTGTCGTGATTCCATCATGTGCTGACAGCGACCGTGCATTTGGACGCTTAGCCCTCTACCAACCGCCTCGCACTCTTCGGCTGCATGTGGTTCTGCTTCTGGGAGGCCGGGTTCAGCTACGTAAATGACACGATCTATTCTTCACCGTACAATACTAAACCAACGTTGCGTCTTCAGACGATCTCAACTATCAGCTATACTCTGAAGGTGGGCACCTCCCTAGGAACCTCGGCCGACGCCGCTGCGCGCTGGGCAGAACGCAAAGCCCGGAGGGATTGGAAGGTGTACCTGGTCTGGTTTGTCGACGTGATCGCGTTCGTCCTGCCGCTCTCGCATGTCATTTGTGAGATTTCCTCGTCTTCTGCCTAATGTTTCGCATTACTGTTGTCTAACTTGGTGGCAGCAACATGGACGATATTCATAAAGTCAAACACGAAGTTTGATAACGCCTTCCAGATCTCGTATGACGTGCGCAAGACCCTCACGGCTATGGCACCATCGTATAACCCGGAGACGTTCAACGTTATGACGGATCTCGCTCCCTCATTGGCACCTCTCACAGAGATGCAGGCGGATTTAGATGAATGGATCCGTCTGTGAGTTCGTCTACATATCCCCTCCGACCTCCGCTTACGATGAAACACCCAGGTCACGCTGGGGATACGGTCTCCTCGCGTTCTACTGCTTCCTCTCTCTCGCCGTGAGTACTCCGTCGGTGGTCAACGCGTAGAAGGCGATATAACCGATCGGATAAATTCAGATCTGGACGCCTTTCTTCATCATCCTCCGTGCCCAGCTGCTCCAGTCCATGGGCACGACAACCAAGAGGCAGTTGTCCAATGGAATAAACTCGGCCTCATCGGACGTGCACGTGGTACCTGAACGTGCCCGTCAGCGGTACCGCACGCTCCTGTGGACGACGGCCACGGTGTTCCTGAAAGATGTCGCGTATGGCGGTGTCGCACGTAAGTCCTCACCTCCCATTCCTGATCGCAATGCGCCTGACGCCGCCCTATTTGCAGTTGCTGTCGGTGTGAAACCCGGCTACGTCCTCGATCCGAAGTACAACATCGTGTGCATTGTCCTCGCAGCCGGTATATTCTCCATCGTGGGCAACGCCATCGCCGGCCTCGTTGCGTGGGGTGCGGTGCGACAGCTCATGCACGATCGCGCACCTGCGCACACCTCCTCTGTTGGTGGGAAGACGTCGTCCCTGCACTTCCGCAACCACTCCCGCGCGCAGGAGATGGAGCTCACGAACGTTGTCAAGCTTAATCTTGAGTCCCCTATGATCACTATTGAGAAGGAGACGTACAGGGAGGAGAAGCCGGGGTTGGACTATAAATATATGTCGCGATAACGGGCCGTAGAGTGGTTTCTTATATTCTTTATTTTGGAAGGAGAGCAGGCCGGATCATATACCATTCTTTGCTGTTGTTACAACATTTGTCTCTCGTTCATTTGGCTTTATTGCCGCACTGGAGGCGGTGGAGGGTGTCTCCGCAGAGCTGTACGACATCCTCCCTTACTGGATCAGAGTCACGGTCTCGCATGGAACCCTAACCTATCATAGGAGGCTCACTTGTAATTGGCCGTCGATGATGCCGTCTGCTTCGCATGCATAAGCACAACCTAAGAGTTCTCTCTTTCCGTAACTCTGTCTGGACATGATACATCTTTGAAATTTAGCAATCTTACGCCGTATGCAGTTGACCGACATAGTGCTCATGCTGTCGTGCCGCCACCCACCTGCCAATAAACTTCGCTTTTGCACCAATCTCGGCGGTCACTACAAGTGTTACAGCTTAAGCACAACTGAGTACTAGAGTTGTCAGTGGTACGATGAACTGTGAGTCCCTCTGCTAAGCAGGAACCTGCTCGCCAACCTGATACGGTTTGCAAGTTGACTCAACTTGCAGGGTATGGAGTCTTGATTCTTCACCTCGGAAGTTCACAAGTTTAGTGAAATTTTCAGGTTACAGTTAATATTCAAACATATACATGCATCTTTGGTTAAGGGCTTCTATATGACATGGGTTCGCTGCGATTGCATCTCAGCGAGTTCAAGATTTTATGATATTCACATCAACTCAACCCAGCGCTTCTCTTGCGTCTCTAACCCGTCCTTTCCAAAGTACCTTTCCGTCTCGAAACACCATTGGTCGTGGCCTCTCGCCCAGTGGCCCAGGCCTTCTATATATCTTGAGACTTGCGCGTCAATCTCGTGTCCCCGGGCCCATGAGGGTATTTTATCCCTGTCCTCCAAGAATTGGGTAGTGATGTGACGGTAATGCCCTCCAACCCACTCCATTGCTCCATCGATGTCGGTATGCTTTTCATGCATAACTACCGTCACGATATTATGTCCATCGTCACCCTTTGCTTGCTCGACGTTGTACGAGTACATGTCCTAGCACCGTTCATGTAAGTCCAGAGTTTAGGACCTTTGATGACTCTAGTACTCACGTTGCTCAGTATGAGCATGTCCATGCAACACAGCTCTAGCTCGACAATGAGCGGGTGCTCCTTTACTTTATTCGGCAAATCCAAATCTGCTTCGAGGATTGCGAAGGCTAGCTTTGCGGCGATAGTACCTCGACGAACGGATAGGTAGCTGTCGATTGAGCGTCTGTCCCGGTACCTCCGTCCCCGATCTTTCGCCTGCTGCACCATTGAATTGGCATGGGGCCCAAACACCTCCAGGAACCTTTTCTGACTGTTCTGACTCATGGTCAGAATTGCTCTTTCCCAGAATCTATTCTTATGTAAGCTTCTCGCCATTCCTGCAGAGGATGTGGTTGCTACTCACTGACGAGCTACCTCACCCAAAATGGATTCATCGGCCGGTCTCGCGGTATGTGGGTGGTGCAAAGCATCCAAAATCGCATCCGCTTGCGCTCGTACCCCCTTTTCGTCTTCGATGTCCGAGAGTCGAAGAGGAAGAGGAAGTTTAATAGGTCGCAGCCCGTCCGAACTCGATCTAGAAGCTCAATGACCTCGTGCGTCTTCATCCTGACTACCGATAACTTACCTTTGTCTTCCAACGGGTACGCCAGGCAAGCGAGGAGACCTACAGTATACAATATGAGTACATCGACAACAATGTCTATCCCACTTCTTCGACTTACTGAAGTCGCATTTATTGAAGGAGCGCTGTGCATGGTCGTCCATAGCCCCGAAGGCCTCAAGCCAGGCTTGGGATTCTGCCTTCACGACAGGGTAGTTCGGGTTGAGCTGGCGTGTCCAGGGCCACTTCGCGAGACCGTCCGGTAGATAGAAGCCAGTCTTCACAGTTGACATTGTCGGTTAGATGTTCCTTTATTGGAATGTCGGGTAATGGCATCTGTGCTTGGTGCTCGTACTCCTTATATATGGCGGATTGTCCGTCATTCGCGAAGGATTAGGCACGGGAAATTGTTTGTTGGGTATGCTCACACGTTCGTCATCTCGGTCCAGGGCTCAGCGATATCTGTATCCTGACGGGTAGCTTCCACTGGAGACTATTTTAGCTATCTTGTTGCAGCATTCCTCGTGTGTTTAATCCTTGCCATGCGAGGTACGTCAGCACCCGGTGCTTCCGAATTGATGATGTGGCTGACTTGGAGTGACGATCCATTACTGCCGCCAGGAATTGATGAAAATTTCTTTGCATCGACCGGCGTTTGTCGATGTGAAGTACGGAAAGCAATCCGTGATAATTTTCTGGCTTGCCAGGATGTAATGCATCAGTAAGTTGGATCAGCGCTTGCTCCCCCCGGGAAAATGCAGGACAGCTTCTGTGCAGTATTTCCGTTCAAGGGGTTCTCTTACAACTTCTCCTACCTCATCGCCTGGGCCGATGCGAAAGACCCGTAGAGTTGATGTAGGGAATGCTGCCTTACGACGACGATCCGCGACGGTAACTCTATTGGACAAGTCTACTAAATTCTCGTGATCTTAGGCCTCCCCGTGAAGCGTCCCAAGGGTCCAGATCACCACTGAAGCATTGTACGCGACAACTAAGGGTATTACCACACCAGGCTCTGCTCTTGATTCCGCCTATTCGCTCGGCATTAAGGATAGCATAACCATGGCCATCGCACCACCGTTATCTAAAGCCTGCCCTCCTTCGGTAGCAATATGACCCACCGAGTTTTCTGGACATCTAGTCCTCTCTTCCCAAAATACCGCTCAGTCTCGAAGCACCATTGATCTCCGGCCCGGGCCCAATTTCCAAGCCCATTCGCGTACAGCGCAACCTGGCTGTCGATCTGGTCTCCCCACGACGGCAGTCTGCTCCTTGCTTTCAAGAATTGTGCCGTCACTCGCAGATACTGGTCCTCCACCCAGTCCATGGCCTGGGCGATGTCCAAGCCTTTTTCGTGCATAACGACGCTGATGATGTTATGGCCGTCGTCGCCTCGAGCTTGCTCAACATTATATGAGTAGATATCCTGCCAGTGAATTTGCCTCGTCAGTCAATCCGCTCTTATTGGTCCTAACGAACTTACGTTACTCATGATCAGCATATCCATACAACACGTTTCCAAGTCCTGTATCAAAGGATGGGAGTGCACTGACTTAGGTATATCTGCATCGCCTCCTAGGAACGCAAAGGCAGGTTTGGCGCCGATTGTGCCTCTTCTCACGGACATGTAGCTCTCAACGGATTGGCGATTGCAGTATCCGTAGCCGCGGTCCTGGGCTTGCTGCACCATGGCGTCTACGTGCGGGGCGAACGATTCGACGAATCGGGAGTATGAAGTGGGAGATAAGGTCCCAACTGCCCTTCCCGCGAACCTAACCGTGCCAGTGGATGAGACGAGATGATCAGAAGTGAGGGCGCGGTGATGAACTTACTCGCGGGCTGCCTCCCCTAGGACGGACTGCCTGGTTGAAGTTGCGCGATGGGGATGCAGTAATGCATCCAAGATGTCGTCCGCTTGCTTCCGGACTTCTTGTTCGGTCTCAATATCCGAGAGCTCGTCGAAAAGGAAGAAAAGGTTCATGAGGTCGCAGACAGTGCGGGCATGTTCTGAGGGTGCGCGAGGGGTGAGGGTGATACGTCCATCCACGGGATTGATACTTACGTCTATCCGCTGTTGGATATGCCAGGCACGCAAGCAAACCTGTTCACGATAAATCGGTAAAACACGCTGCGTTCCACGTCAATTTTTTCGTGAACTCACTGAAGTCGCATTTTTTGAAAGCTCTGCGAGCGCGATCGTTCAAAGCATTGAAGGACTCTATCCAAGCGTCCGACTCAGCCTTGACGATCTCGTAATGAGGATTTAAACGGCGAGACCATGGCCAATCGGCGAGGCCATTTGGTAGACGAAATCCTTCGGGAGTCATTTCGCGGCTTTCTTGCTGCTCATCGAGCATGGCCTTCATCTTTATAGTTTCGGGAGGGGATTCACTAACATGAAACGTTGACTACTCATTTCGTGATTGCAAGGCTCTGTACGTCGTTGTCTGGTTAGCCCGAAACAGGGACGTCTACCTCGCGGACGCTGTAGAAGGTAACGCCCGTAAGAATCGTCGCTCCGTTCCTTGTGCCGACTGACTTGGCGAATCCTCGCTCGACGGATGTATTCATGGCCTATCGAGTAAGTTGTGCATAACAGAAGCCATCCCGTCGGGCCTTGGGAAGCCTAGGCGCTCCGGATTCATCGGCACGCGCAGGGGGCTCATAGCCTCTGCCAGTGAAAACTAACCTAGTCGAATGGGCGGGGAGCACCTAACGATGTTGAGGTTGTCATAGGTCGGTCTTCTTCTTGAATAGCCACCAGGCGAAACCGCCGGGAACGGTATGTAGTTTCGGCTAATCCAGCAAGGACGGTGCGAATGTCATACTCGCTTCCGAAGTGATGCTAGGGGCTGAAAATCATACGCATGCCTTGACGCCTCGTAATTTGGTCGGGACCGAAGAAATTCCGCTGCCATCACGCCTGTAATAAACTGGCAACGCGCGGAATATCCGCGCCCTCCCATGACACCCTCCGATGTCCCTTCAATCCAAAGCCGTTCCTGTCAGAATCCTTCAGGCAATTTGTATACGAGAATAATACTCCTCTCTCAAACACATACATACAAACACGATGGACGACAGTAAGTGCTACAAGGTGTGGCTAGTATGACTAGCCATTGACGAGGCAAGGGAGTATAGATATGAGTGGGGAATAATGAAGATGAAGGCGACACAAGAGATAGAAATGTATGAGAAAACATCGTCGAGTACAATGACAGCGGGGTAATACATTGTTGTCAATCTGAATGGTTGGAACCGCAGATATTCATAATGAACGTCATGACTGCTCAAATCAAGCACTTCGCGCGCTATAGTCCTGCCATAATTTATCTACAAACGCTTTGTCCGTCTACCAAATAAATACATCAGCATCCAATCTCCGCGGGGCGTATGGAAGACTCACATATATCAGAGTGAGCAACTCCTGCACGAATTCTTTTCTACCCAGCTGAGAAGCCTGGTCACGTATCTTGGAAGCAGATGGATGACCCATCAGAACATCGAGGAGGGACACCCCAGCGACAGAGCTATCAATCTTCGAAGAACTAGACGGTACACTGACTTGCGGAGGCGAGCTGTGCTTCCCGTTAAGCGCTGGGCTGGCTGCACCGCCTTGGCCATCCACGCTCGGTCCCGGTGACTCTGATCTAGATGAGCCAGCCTGCAGTCGCTGGGCCTTCAACATCTCCCTCTCTCTCCGGCCAGGCTTCTTCCTCTTATCACCGTCCCTGACCTTCACTTCTGCGTCATGTCTGTCAATGCCATCCGCCACAACGTGGGCGCCTTCCCTCGCTTTGCCCTTCCCCTTGCCTTTCTCCCCGTTCTTCCTCGACTTGGACTCCAGACGCCTCGAAAAGGCCTCGGGGTCGCTCAACGCACTCGTATCAGCGAAGTCAAGTTCCACCACGTCCTCATCCTTCCCGTCTAAGCCTTCTTGCTCCAGCGGCGTCGGCCAAAGCCCGTTCGAACTCTCGAAAGCCGGTGGCCGCTGACCGGGAGGAGGGCGAACGGTCGAGCTGGACGACGCCGCGGAGATGACGGGTGGCCTGTGGTGCGACAGCGGCGTGCCAGTATGCCCGTTCATTTGAGACGGGGGCCGAGAATGATCGCCGTTGCTGGGTGATGTGGGCATACCACGCAGGGGCGGTCGGGGGGTAGCATCCCCGTTTATCCCCGAGTTGCCCTCCTCATCCGAGCTCCTGCTGGGGTACAGCGACAGTTGCGGCACTCCGCCATTCACGCGGGCATACTCCACGTTGCGCGTCGCGTACCCCGTGACTACGACGTCGCCGTCCGACTCCTCCGCGTCGAGCACCGTGCTACTCTCGGACAGCTCCAGCTCCGCTTCCTCGACGACGACGTCCGGGCCGCTCCCGACGCTCCCGCCGTCGGCGCTCGACTCGTTGTCGCCCTCGTACCGCCCGCTTCTCCGAGACCTGCCGGCGCTGCTCCCGCTCATAGCGGAGGACGACCGGGAACCGTGGTTGGGCCTGGTTGAGCTAGCACGAGAGGAGAGGCCGAGTAACGACGAGATGACGTCTTGGTTGAGGATCTGCGGCAGCGTGCTTGACGTCGGCTTGGGTGAGAGTATCTCAGGTGGCGGCGGGGTGGGTTGGGATTGTCCTTGCGCTTGTGACTGTGAGGTGTTCAAGATTTGGTGATTTATATTATTTGCAGACACCGCGGACGCGAAGAGGGCGTTCAAACTAGGCTGAGAAGAGGAAGCGATAGGCGTGTACGACGAGGACGAAGATGCACTCGCGTTGCCAACAGACGCAAAGATGGTGTCCAGGAGTGCTTTTCCAGTTACAGGTTGAACTGACGGCGCCGAGGGCTGGGTGAAAGATGATAGTAAGGCAGAGCCGTTAAGATCGGAACTTGACTGCGAGGGAGTCCCGGTTGGCGTGGCCTTGGCAAAAAGTTGGTCTAGGACAGACATGCCCGAAGTTTGAGGTTGCGACTGAGGCTGGGGTTGGGGCTGAGGGTGAGAATGGGGGTAATCGGTGGAGAACGGTTGCTGCGACCGCTGGGAGGGCGTCTGCGTAGTTCCGTTTCTCGCACCGTCGGACAGCCGTAGACCAGCTGCAGCAACTACCACGCGTCTCAGATCAATGATCGTTCGTACGGACGATAGTATACTCACTTAAATGTTTGAGTTCAGGCGATACCTTCTCCCCTGGAGGTCTATCAGGGCCATGTCGATATTCTTGAGGGTACACTAGTTCTTTTTGAACATAGGGATGTAACCTGCCCAAGCACGTGAGACTCGACACAAAATAGATTACACAGACACTCACCTTAACATTACATCCGTGAGATGCTCACGCGCGTCAGTCGCGTGCATCCAGAAGCCAACCGTCAGACAGCTGCCCCGTTTCTTATCCGTGCCATTCAAGAGGGACTCTCGATCTTCTCTATCCTCCTCTGGAATAGAAAAGTTTTCTGACGTCGTGCGTAATGAAGAGGGGGAAACGCCGAGGCGTTTGGCAGTATAGTCAGGGTATGATCGGTACAGGAGGAAGTTTCCCTGCTTTTCCATGTCGTCTTCGGGATACATTGGTTGGATGTAGTCTTCCATGCCCATCCTGTTCAGGATGTAGAACCCATACGGAGGATATGCTTCTCTGTGGATAATGACTCGTAAGAAACCGCTTCTGACACAATGGATATCGGTCTTGCCAAGACGATCAAGCGTATACAATCCAAAATGTACCTGGCATACATTTGAAACTGCGTACGCCTGCTCTCTGGCCAAACCACGCAAGCCAGCCGTCAATAAAGGCATTACTCACCGCTCGAACAAGAACATACTCCCCTCAAAACCCTTCTTCTCCCAGGCCTTCCCATTGTGGTGATACAGACATACGTGACTGAACTGGTCGAAAATGGACACTATACTCGGATCTCGTCTCCGTAAGACCTTCAGATTGTGTTGATATCGTGAAGCCGCGCTCATTCCCAAACCCGCGCTCGGACTGGGCTGGGGCGGTTGCGTTGGTGGTCGCGGTAAAGGTTCGTGGTTACGTCTCGGCAGGTTTGTTTGTGATGCATGCGATATTGAACGGGGCCGCCGAGGGGCCATGGCGCGCAGGATGAACGTAAAAGGAGGAAACGAGGACAATTGCCGTGAGCTGCTGTGTTTGGCGAGGTTGACTGCCTCTTTGGGACAGTAATCACGTGCTATACAACAGGCACGTGACTCTACGCGATCGCCTGAAATTCAGAATTTAAATTTGAATTAAGATCATGTTCCTCAAAAATTGATTGTCAGGATTGCCGCTGGCTTTATTATCACTTCCTTGCGAGGTAGAAGTCCTTTTTTGAGTCAGATTCTGGCTTGCAAACGTTATAAGAGGTGTTAAGCATTGAAGCTTATGGAGATCTCCCTGGAGTACAGTGCCCTAGTGTCACTCACGTTCAAGCCTTATACAACGAAATGATACAGAAGCCTAAGTGCTTGTTATTCTTCAACGCAAAGCTAGTACCTGAGTAGGACTACAACAGAGAAAACCAAGACCCCACCGAGAAGGTCACTTTCGATGTAAGGCGCATAATCCCCGGACTTTCCATTCGCTCACTGAGTTTCCACGTCCGTTGGCTCGCCTGTCACCTCGTCCGTCATGGGCTCTTTCTCGTCCAACGCATCTTGAGCTTTCGAGTTCCATCCTTGACTGATCTCCTGCAAAACCTTCTCGTCCACTTCCCGCGCCGCCTTACCGTACTTGTTCTTGTAGAAAATGATCTCTCCCTCCTCTTCAACGAAGAGGCACTGGGTAAACGATCGGTACAGTGCGTACCACGTATTCTGCATGACATTAAGTTTGACCATAGTGGGGGATCATGATACGTACGGTAGTGTCGTAGTTGTAGTCATCTTGCAGCACCCGTCGAATAAGCTTGGTTATCTTAGGACCGTTGTCTGCGGAGGGATCAGTCTCACCAGCCACATCATAGCACCAGAAAGGACGTACAGAAAGGCGCCTTGATAAAGAAATGGTGCGCGACGTGGTCATGCGATATCTTTAGAATAATCATCAGCCCTTGGTTCCGAAACTGAAGGGAGCCATCCTACATTATGCAAGAAGAACCGACCCATCCAGCCCATCAAGGGCCTGTCAACAGTGGCAGAAGCGCCTCTCATGAAAGACCACTGGCCCCTGCGGTAATGCGGGATGGTCGGATCCGAGTGATGCAAGTATGTGAACATAACGATCCTGGACACCGGGTCAGTGAAGTGAATATTTTTACAACCTCCCGATGTTATGGATGCTGACCAATGATTGACCATCAGGTACGGGATGAAATAGCACTTGATGAAGGCGCTCAAACCGCACTGGCGTGTCCACAGGTACAGAACGGTGGTCATGCACACTAAGCCGATGTCGGATACGATGATGGCTGGTCCTATATGGAGGTCGGGATAAGTCGCAAGGACAACAACAAGTACAGAGCCATGAACTGACGCTGAGCAGGCTTAAACAGCGGAGACCAGGGGCTGAAGTGGTTCGTGCCCGGAGGATACATCTTCGCTCCGAGCGTATTCCTCGTCAGATACAGCCACCACCCCATACCCTGCATGATCAGCATCCGCGTCAGCGTCCAGATGGGCGTCTCCTCGAAGACCTCGGCGTAGTCCGCAGGCTGGGCCTTCTTCTCCTCGGGCAGCTTGTACTCGCTTCGCAGGTGTGGAAGGTAGTTCTCGTCCCGCTCCATCGACACGTTCGCTTTGTGGTGGGCATGGTGGGTCGATCGCCACGCGGAGTAGGGGATGAGCAGGAACTGAGAGGAGATCAACGTCCAGACATGAGCCCGGATGGAGAGGTACTTACCACGTGCAGGATGTACCCAACTGTCTGATTGAGTATCTTCGAGTTGAACAACGTACCATGCCCGGCCTAGGAACAACGTCAGCTCGACGCAAGCCGCGCGACGACCACATGGACCCACATCGTGACCTGGAATACAGTTCTTCAGCCCAAACAATGGCGACGTGTGGAATACGGCACCTACCTAAGCAAAAGATGCCACCCCAGGTCAAACCCTGGAACCACCAGTACGCCGCCCAGAGCGCCCATCGAGCAGTAGTCGTCTGCCACCCCGGCTCCACATACCCCCCATAGCTCGTCTTCGCCCACGGGTCAATCTGTGAGGCCAGGAAGAAGAACCCAGAGCACAGTGCGACGTCCCTCAGGACGTAGTACATGCTGAGCCATTCATTGGGTTTCAGCAGCTCCTTAGGGACCGCATCATGGACCTGCTTCAGGGTCACGGACGTCGGGACGAAAGGCTTTCGCAGCCTGGGCGGGCAGCGCTCAGATCATCGCAACCCAGCTGCAAGGAGTCAAAATACCTCGCTTCGTATTCCCGGCTGTTCTTGAACGGGTTGAGGGCGGACAGCATGGTGGTAACAAGGCGAGGCAGCAATATCGAGGCGCGGCTCTGCTTCACCCGCAGGTAGTATATAGGCCTCGGGAAGGGGGGTTAATGAGCAGAAGGCGCCCGATTTTATGTTTTTCATGTCCCCAGCAATATGCCCACGACCTGAGAAAGCTTTACCTATCAGATCCACCATGCCGAGCAGATATGCAGATTGCATACCTTCCGCGGACCTGCCTCACCGAGGACGCATCTAGGACTTGGTCTCTATGAATGGAAAACGCCGGATCCAGTTCCCGGGACAGAGTAAAGAAGCAATATGGAAGAGGTGACACCGATGCTCTGATCATCATGAGATGGGTAGGGAGCGCGGTTAAACTGGACCTTTGCTAACATTAGCAATTACCTTCCCCTCTACGGACCCTAACGAGAGTTATGCGACGCAAATCGGCCTCCTTAGCTGAACTTAGTGAGACACTCCGCCTGTCACGCTGTAGCGCGCGCCAGGAGAAACTTGGGTTCAAATTCCACTATACGGCAGGGCATCAATACACAGTCCTGTCTGCAGTATCCGAGCGTACGACCACGTCCAAGCTGTGGGAACGAACTCACCAACAACTGAATCGAACAGTAGGAGTCGCAGGCTGATTACCATATTTAGCCTAAATACGAAGAGTGATGGCAGTAAGTTTCCGGCGTAGCACCACCGAATGAGGTATACATTCACCCCAATTACACGCAGGGCCACCTTGGTCTCTTCGAGAAGATCGGAAGGACACACCGTGGATGACGGACGTAAAGATTATCAGTGCCCTGGCAGCCTAAAAGCATGTCGGATTAGAGCAGCCATCGCGCACTCAGCGGAGTCCCCGGGGAGACGCCGATCCCCGACAAATTGAGGAAGTTAGGATAACAAGCTGAAATGTTACCCAACGTCTTTGATTTCCTGGACCTGCTCACGAACCAAGGAATGACTCTCAGCCTCAGCTTGCATATTGATGTCGCTCCGGAAACTCGACATGCAGGACATCATGGGTCCATATGGGTCCTTGTTAGCCAGTCGTAATCGTCTGCGTTCTGGTGGTCGTTATCTGCGTGCAGGACAGAACGTTCTTCAGTAACTGCAGAGGGCACGTAATCATATCGGGGGAACACGTTATGCCAGCCCTGGTGGCACTCCAATGACATATCATAGATGCGTTCTTGACGGGTTGCGCCTCGGGCATGCATGCGTACATACCCGAGGTAATCAGCTTCGCAAAGGGAACGTCCGTAAATATGCAGTTAGGCTATAGTAAACGCACATAACACCCCGAGTCAAAATCGAAAGCTCAGCTTGATAACGACTCTCATTAGTCTTGCGGTGTCAGCGAAGAATTGAAAGTGCCTCTTCAACAGGAGACCTATTACGACCATTCTGCTGAGGACTGTCAAAATGCTGGCGATGAGAATGAAGAAGGCATCTGACCTCGGGAGAAGCAGAAAAAGAGACCTGAGATGAAAAGGCGTGTCAACAGTGTGAGATTATCAATACGCGCAGATTAGATCAATCAATGAAATGAACGAATACCAAGCATTGTTATCGCGGAGCAGGGCACAGGCATACTCAGCAGTACTCTGGAGTATGCGTTCTACACCATAGGGGATACCGGCGAAGGCAAAACCCTAGTTTCTTCGTTGCAACTAGTTTCCATTCTCCTTGGGCTTCGGGACGAGGTGGCGTTCGCGGAGAAAGGCAGAGATGTGAGTAGCAAGATCAAGTTGGCTCAGAAGTACAACAGGATCCCGTATATACCTACGCCGGACACCGTCCCAAAAGGTCATGAAGGGGTCGTAAAGCTCGTGAAAGGTCGTGACGGGTGAGGAAGAACGCGAAATCAATAATAATAAATATAAGCACCGAACCGAGGGGAATAGATTGTCGTGGGCCAACGGACTCGGATAACTGGACAACATGGAGCGATCTACGCTGACGAATAGCCATGGGCAAGCATTGTACCTCCGGGGTAGAGGGTTTGGAGCGAGGCGAGTCGGACGGGTCATGACTTAGCCTGGCTCTCGCTTTGCCCCCGGGGCCGGCCGTCAGCAGAGGTCGAAGGCGAGCGTTTTGGTAATGACAGGTCGTCTTGGGATTTCGAGAAGAAATCGTCTTCGCCCTCGTATGGGGATGATTCCGAGTTTATCTGGGACGCGTTCACGGGTAAGAAAGGCGGCTGAGGCGGCATGTGCAGGAATAAACTCCGGATGGAAGGCAATGAAGGCAGAGATTTAACAGTACTCACCCATTGCCCTAAGACTTCAGCTAGTCTCGCTGCCTCCTCTGGACTGAATTTCACACTCGTTCCCTTCTCCGCGTACACTTTCATGAGCTCGCTCAGCGTCCTCTTCCCCTTTCCGTCTCCAGTTGGCGTCTCGCCTTCCTCGCCCGCGCCCTTCTCTCCAGGAAATGCCACCGAATTCCTCGGAGTCGCTGCCTCGCCCTGTGGGTACTCAGAGCGGTCCCAGTCCTCGCTGGCCGACCCTGGCGAGCTTATTGACAGCTCCGACATGGTCCTTGAGAGCGTTCCTCTCGGGTCTTCGGTCTCCGTCGACATCGAGGCGTCCCAGCCCAACGAAAAAACGCGATTAGTCCAGTATATGCAATAAGTTATATGATGTGAGTTGTCGAGAGCAGGGCAACAAGTCTAGCTGCCGTGTCTCGCAGTCGAGGGTGCAAATACGAGAAAGAAACGCGCAGACGAGGTGGGGGTAGCTCTGCCTGAGACGCGTCTGTTTGGGAGAACGCGACACCGTTTAAGGTAGGACCCTGGAGACCCCAATGATTACGGCATGACCCCGAATAGCAGCCACATGCCTTTTGCCTGCACTTCAAGTTAGGCACCAGTCCAAGGCTGTCTAATAATGCAATAGGAGGCAATAGGTAAGCTATCTTCCAGGCTTTTTGGCGAAGTAGTTAGGTACCAATATAAGGAGTTCCTTTGGAGCAGCTTTTCCTGGCCAAGTACCTATCAAGTAAGATGGCTAGTTTTAACTTGGCTTGCATAAATACTTACTCTGATCATGTTGATATTTCTCTGCAGCAGAACGCCATTCAGACCCTTGCTGTAGAAGAAACCGTTTGCTGACAGTCACTAGTGTTGAATCTCATACCTAGCAACTCGATGCGCCCGCCTTCTTGTTTACGTCCGATACCTAGGCTTGATCCTGCGCCTCTTAAAAAAGACTTAGTAGACGAGCAACTGTCTTTAATGGAGGCTTGTACCCGTTTAGTATCAGCGTCGCAGAAGTCCCCCCCAGGCTCTCGCGCGTGCTCAAAAAGGCAGGATTCTCCGCCCAAAACGGCAGATGCACATGGTTGGCATCTGCCGGACCTCGGCACGTATATAGTCTCGACCTCTTCAACGGTTCCTCTACCCTACACCGAGGGTTATACTGCCTATAACGTACGCGCTGAATGCGCAAGAGCGCATAGAACCTCGTGTACACAATTTCTTTAAAGTGGGGGGGTCGAGGCACTAAATGTGGCCCAGTAGAAGCCTTACTGGGATCAAAAATCACGCTGAGAGAACTGTAGCTTTTCAGACTGTCTCCTACTGTCAATGGGGAGTCCCAAAGCTCAGTAGCTCCTCCTGGTACATTATCTACAGGATAAATTACAACTACTAGGTTATAGTACTGCGAGCACAACGGGGAGTCAACAGCACGAAGTTCCTTGCCGTATATTCGGCAAGGTCCACGCACGTGGTTTACCACTGCTGCGGCGCCCCAGCTACTCGTTTGGGTAGGGTTCACTTCCAAAAGCGGGCTAAGGGGGGACTTCCCTATGCTGTATCGGAAATATGCACTAGCCTACCGATACCGACCTGAGGCGCCGCGATACATCTGCTTGCATATTAATATCCTTCCTGTTACCTCTTCTCCCAGCCAGGAATCAGTTCTGATTGATTTTAGTGAGCCTTCTACCCTACACTATTGGCCTCGTTTGTGCCTCCAAGCTCG